GGGGGGGGGGGGAAGAGTAATAAAAGAGGTCACGGGTGTGGTGAGAATGGCCGAAGACAGAGCGAGAGAGCGAGAGAACAGAGAACGAAACATCGAACCGAAAGGGAAAAGGGGAAAAAAAAAGACGGCAGAGCTTGATCGGGGCTAGCGCAGGTCTCGAATTGGAAGAAAGACCCTGTCGGGCTTAGCCTTGTAAGAAGTTATACTGAGCAGTTACCGTTGATGTATTTTATTTTAGCTTCTCAACCTCGTTAATCCGGTTCTTTTCGTCCTTTTCTTGGGCATGGGTTTCAGACTGACGCCAGGATGAGATCAGTCCAACTTACTACACTTGGGGTTTGATATTGATTACATTGATTGCACTGGGTTGCTGCTGCACAAGGGGTTGCACCAAAGACTAGAAACACCAACCTAGAAACCCCCCTTCAGTGGACTGATCAGTCGACAATGGATAGCCTACTGCCGACAAACAATCTATCATATCATATCAATTGCCCCTGCTGTGCTGACAGGTCACTCAGTCACAGACTGACCTGCAGCTGCTGCAGGCAGGCTGCATGGTTAGTGTGCACTGCCGCGCCCCCGGAGAAAGTTAGGAAGGATCCGACCCGATTACAGATCCGATGCTAACAATCTCAACGGTGTTGGTTGTTCTGTCATGGACAGACAGATCTGATGATGCCCCCCCAAAACAGAAACCGGTTTTGTGTGATGACCTCTGATGACCTCTGATGACCTCTTTGGTTGCTGGCCGATGAAGAAACTGGCAAATTTACCGAAATTACCGTTGGTATGGTTCGTACCCGGTGGAGACGCCTTGGTTTCAGTCAGACTCCGGCCGTCTCCCCTTTGCGCCCACCCACTCGCGGAAGCTTCAAAGTTCGCCGTGGCTCGCCCAGCCTGCCGTCTCTCGACCGCAGGAACTGACGGGTCACTCCCGGAGTGGCTTTGGCTTTGGCTTTGGCTTTGGACTTTTGTTGATTGACTTAGAGGTCATCTGCGGAAATGGAGATGAGCCTCTAGCGAGGACACTTGATAAGTCTGCAGTGCATCTTGCACCATCCTACCATGGCATCGGACCCTTCGGAGTATCCTAAGGGATTCAGGTGATTGATGCGACATTCTATTGTTCCTGAGTCAGGTGGGGGCGCGTCAGCAATTGGACGATCGTCCCGTGATGAAATCTCCACTTGCGGCCGTACCTGAGCCTGAGGAGCCTCAGGTTGACGCCCTTCCTACCTAAGGCCGGACTAATCCCGCTTCAGGAATTCTAGTCGCCAAGTCAGAACGAACCAAGAACAAGATGAACTCATCAAGAACTTCCTCGCCGGGCCCGCTTTCCTCCCATTGACGTTGTCAACGGCAGGCCACAGGTGTCTTCTTCAATAACCTTGAAAAAGAAAACGCCAAAACTGTCCCGCTTGAGTCTTGACTTCATCTCCACTTGTGCCCGGCTAATAACCGTTCCATGGATCACTGGCCTCGCTTCCCGTTCGTTTATTCAACGAGCCTCCATCTCTACTGTTTCTATAAGTAAAAGCCCCGAGATGCTGCGGCCTAGACCCTTGCCTGAAGAATTTTCTGCATTACTACCAGCAGCACCACTCCGAATTGAGCAGCGAATGGCGTCAAAGTAGCCTCACTGTTGCCCGTACCAGGGACAAGGCTACTGTCAACCACGAAAGGCGCCGACACGTTCACGGCCACCATCCACCGCGCGGTTATTGATCCCTGATCCCACTAATCATGGCAATAGTGTCAAGCCCTGGCGCCCGCCGAATCCGGACAATGCGGCCATCTGGTGGGTCCTGGCGATGACGAACGTGTCGGCCGTCCATTTAAATATAGTCGAGCCCGATCCCTCATCTCGCTGGCGCCGAGCTGGGCGCTTAATCCGATTTGGTGTCCATTAGGACAATCTTGTCGCCCGGATTAATTAAGATTAGCATTCAATCTCCGGGCAACATCGATTTCCCCGGGCCACCGACCACGTTTTTAGCACTGCGTCATTGTTCGTGACGACTTGCAGGGCACCGGCAACTTCTCAGCCCAGCTCAATTGCAGTCGAGAATCTATCCAAATGTATGGTTGAGCGCGCATTGACCACCGTTCAATATTGGCTCAGCCATGTGACCCAAAGATCTAGCGGTAACTTCGGTTATTGCTCAGTCTGCAAACTGAGGGTACCACGATACTCCGATGCGCATTGACGAACAGAGACAGTGTCCAAGGCTGTGCACTACATTGCCTTTTCCCAACAAGCGCCCTTACTACGAAGCGAGCCCTCAACCCAGGCCTGTGCTTTCCCCGCCTCAATCGACCCCCAGCATCTGCTGCCTCGCTCGTATTTTTGTTTTAGGCCTGCTGCATCCTGCACATGGAGGCTTGGAATGGTTGGTCTAACGTCATCTTGGTAGCTGACAGAAGAGGAGTGTACTGTACCTAGTATCCTGGCGCTACTAACCTGGAAAGGGGGCTTGAAGATTAGTCGATTCGATCTTGAAGTTGATTTACCGTAATCTTCGCCGGGGGACGACATTAACCAGATCTCGTGCAGGGGTGTGATGCCCACGAACAAGATAGTAGAAGTTTTGGTTTGGAGAAATTTGGCTGGACCACGGTGGGATTTAATGGGTTGAGATAGGGTCAGATGCATGGTTGCTTTTGTACTGCTTTGAGCGGCCATCCGTGCACAGCAAATCGTATCAGCAGCTTTAGCCCCCAGGACAATCGAGCTCATCTGTGGTATTGCTAGACTGACTGAGGATATGACTGAAAGATTCTCGGTGTGCATGCCGATTTGTCTGATACTCCATTTTCGGTGCTTGTGCTTCTATAGAAACGGGTAGTAGAGTAGCTACTCCACCTAGATGTTAACCTTCCGTAAACGCCTATCCTCAGTATGGGTCCTGACAGAATCAACTGGTCAGTAGCCTATAGAGGATCGCGTGATACGTCCAGAGCCTTGAACTAATCCTGCTACATCCGGATAGAAAGCATCTAGTAGAGCTCAAAACACAATCCACCAGAATCTTGCTCGTCACAAGCCAAGCAACCTCAGACACCAGGCATATCACAACTACACAACCAAATCCACCCCACGCAAGCATCTATTGATCCACAACAATGCACCCGACAATACAAACACATGAACGCAAACAAACCGCAACAACCCGCGCGTTATAAGAACGAAGCCCCATCATAACCCCCAACCCCCGACAGCAAGCAAGAAAAAAAAGAAAACAAATATTTATATTAAAAGTAATCTACCACCGATCCACACATATCCCAATCCCATCCCACCATATCGACAAAGTATGTACTGTACTGTACACCAACCCGCCCTACCCCCGCACAGCATACTTCCGCGTCCACTCGCGCGCGACCTCCTCGTACCGGGCGAAATCCCCCTTGAACTGCTCGGCGATGCGGCCCTCGACGGCGTCGTCCGGCATGGGCTCGGCCAGCAGCTGGCGCGCGAACTGCAGCACGGCCGCCAGGCGCGAGCTGGGCTTCCACTCGTCCGCCCGCAGCATCCCCAGGCACATGCTCCCCTTGTCGTCGTTGGTGACGTTGGGGTGGTAGATTTTCGTCCGGAAGGAGACCGTCGGCGGCTTGAAGGGGTATTCGGTTGGGAGGGTGAGGGTGAGGTGGAAGGTTCCGTTCTGGTGGCCAGGGTAGGGGGGGTTAGTTGATTGTGGAGTTGTGGGGGGGTGGTGGGGGCTGGGGGATTTTTTTTTGGGAAGGGATAGGGTGAGGGTTGGGTGAGGTTGGAGCCTGCTTACCTGGTAAGGCGAGTTCTCGGGTCCCTCCATGTAGACGTTCCAGATGTAGAGGTTGGATTCGTCGGCTAGCTTGACGGTTATGCCTTCGGGGGCGGATTCGGCGAGTTCGGCGAGTTCCTTTTGGATTGTTAGTGGGGGTCTAAGGGTGAGAGGGGGGTTGGTAGGTGAAGTTGAGGGGGTATGGAGGTTTGGATGCGCAGTGCAGTGTTTACCTTGGCTATCCGCTTTTGGCTGCCCATCTTGATTGCAGTGTTGGGTGTGTGTGTGTGTGTGGTGGGGAGAGAGAGGTAAAGCGGGGTTGTGAGGTGGAGGAGTCGGTCGAGAGATTGATGGCTGTTGATGAGCGCGTGAATGGAGTCTAATTCTGATGCAGTTGCAGAACGAGCAATGGTTGAAGATAGTAGCAGAGACAAATGAAGGCTGGCCTGGTTGGTTCGATGGGATCTGGAGCTGGAGCTGGAGCTGGAGCTGGACTGGAACTGGAACTGGAACCGAAAGCAGCTCCTTTCCTGAGATGGCGGGGCGGGGCAGGCGGGGCGGAAGATCCGCCGGAGTGGAAGACGTCAGTCATTTCAGTCAGCTACAACGAACTCCAAACACTACAAGTCTACCCAACACTGCAAGTCTACTCTCGCACCATGCAACTCTGGAATCTAAACAATTGTATCATTATAGTCTCTTTGCTAAACAAGAATGAAATGCGCTAAGACAACCCAGCCCTCAACCCCAATCTACACAGCAACGTGCCCTTCCTTGGAGCTGGTGTTGTGATCAAAATTCCTGGCTGCCTCGTCCTCCCAGAACCTCTTCTGTCTTCCTCCATTCTTGCACAACCCAACCAAGTCAAAAGGATCAAAGAGGGTGAGGAGAAATGGGCGGTTGTCACAATACCCCGGTCCTTCCAGCTCAGTAACCCCATCTCTCGCAAGGTAGATCTTGTTGGAGCGTGGAAGCCACCGCATCGGATGGAAGATGTTCAGCATCGTGGTGTTAACATACATCACAGTCGCCTCAAACACCCAGAAGAACCACTCGTCCTTGAGAATAGGACTGATGTCCTTGATGTCGGACACGTTCAGGCTGGCCGCAGTGAAGTACTCCACCGTCCGATAGATCGTCCGCACGGTGATCAGCCCGCAGCTGCAGTACAACACACATAAGGCGTGCTTCACCTTGCGATTCAAGACCCCACCGCGCCGACAGTTATAGTAGAACCTCAAGGCCAGAGCAAGGAACCCTGCCATCAGCACGAGCTGCAAGATCAGGGACGCTTTGAGCAGCCCTTTGCCGATGTCTTGCTTGCGCTGTGGGTTCTCGACGTTGGCCACCAGCGCACCACCGTTCCCAGTGAGCACCTCGATGACCATGCTCATCGCCAGAAAGGTTGTGAAGACCCGTCCCGGATGGATTGGTGAGTGGTAGGGGATGTAGTAAAGGATTCGCCCGAGGATCAGGTAGTTGGCTGCTTCGTAGACCGGTCTCGAGATCTGTTAGTCGTGGGTCTTCTTCGGCGAGAGCGCTACTTACGGGCCAGCGAGTAGAAGAACCGTGCTGACAATGTAGATCACCAGGTTATCCCAGTGACCCCAGGCGGCCACAGCCCGTAGCACAAAGCCGCCTGTGAAGAGCAGTGCCGACCAGGGCAAGATTCCGGTCACTTTCCAGGACTTATACTTTCTGCAGTCGTCGTCAGTAGCGGGAAAGGCTGAGGGTCTCAATGGGAGCTGCATACATGCATTGATAGATGTGCCAGATTCCAGAGATAGTGAACCAGATGGCGAAAGTGATAGGAGCACCCTTGTTGGGAGCATAATACCAGTAGCTATCCTCCTCTGTTGGACGTTAGTACTGGATCTCACATTCAGGCCTGGACTAAGGTGCATACGGTACGGCGATCTTCTGTCCAGCATCACGGTATAATAGGTAAAGAAAAAGCCAAATCAAATTAGACGACGATGACGACGACGATGACTATTTCTAAGATGCTTCGATGATGAGGAGAGCGTATTTGCTAAACAATTAAATGCTCTTGCCATGTCCCGGTCCACGAAATATATATGTTCAGCCTGTGGCAGAGCCCCATTAGCGAAAACGAGCAACCTCTATCCAGTAATCAGCCACGGCCCTATGAGAGGCTCCAGATGTGCCTCTGACTTAAACATCCAACCTTAAACGGTCAGTTTGAGGGCTGAGCTGTAGAATTGTTGCCCGATCGTCAACTGAGTTGATCATTCATGGGATAAGCCCCAAGTCTCCCTCCATGGTGCACACCAGTGATCCTCCTCCCCTGGGTTGAATTTAGCCTTGTTGGATCCAGGTCTTTGTCTCTGGTGATGATGATGGATGGACCCTGAGACCCTGAGACCCTGAGACCCATCCTCGAGACTTGGCTTGGCATCCTGGCCGACAGCAAGCGAATACGAGCAAGGCTGTGCTCATTGTGATTGGCTCCACGAAGTCAGCCTCGCAGGGACTGTCATTGCTAGTGCATGGTGGCTGTGAAGGTTGACTCAAGGCTGACATCAGAGAGAGCTGCGTGGGGTTTCGGTGAAAAGATATTGGAAGACTGAGTAGTCTACTGAGTAATTTACGGACTATAGACATGATGGTGGCTTAACCCCAGATTTTCCCCATGCGGAAGGCGTTGCCGGGACGACGAGAAGATCCCGATTCGGATAAGACCCATCAACACTGGGCACGGCGCCTCTCCAGGCGACGAACGGCTAACGTGACCCTCTCCAATCGTCATCTACCCAACTCGCATGCACTGCACTGACTGCATCTAGACCCTTAGTTTGGATGTGAACAGGCGTGTACTAACCACCAGCAGCAAACATGGCTTCGACAAAATCGCCCCCCACATCCCTGTTCCAGGTGTACCTTCGCCTGCGGCCTCCTATGTCCCAACACGAAGAGGAACAGGCTGAGCGTTGTTTGACCATCGAGACTCCAGAGCAGGTATACGCCACTGAAAACAACCACCAAGATGCCCCGCCTACGCATATCACTTTACACCCTCCCAGCGACTCCCGGAAGCGCGCCGTCGAGAAGTTCGGGTTTACACAAGTCTTCGACGAGTCCGCCTCGCAGCTGGGCGTCTTCGAGGGCACGGGACTGGAGAACTTGATAAAGGGTGTTTTGTCGGAAGGACGCGATGGCCTGGTCGCGACGCTGGGCGTCACGGGTAGTGGAAAGGTCTGCTAGTCTAGCCGTGGTTGTAGGCGATAATGCTAATGAGAACCCGCAGAGTCATACCATTCTGGGCTCCAAGACGCAGCGAGGTATCACCCAGATGAGCTTGGATGTGATCTTCCGGTCCCTCGCTTCGACGATCAGACCCCTCGACAACTTTATCAGCCCCCTTCTCTTGTCCTCTGTCGCCGCCGCCGATGCCTCTGAAGCCCAGATCTTTAGTGCGCAGACGTTCCTCGAAGCTGTATACGGTGAATCGGTCGATCGTAGCAGGAGTCCCAGAGCTCAGACCCCAATGAGTGCCGGACGAGCGCAAACCCCCATGGCGGTACGGAGCCCTTTCCCCCAGCCTATATTGCAACCCACCCCAAGGTCTCGAGTGCTGGTCCCTACAAGCTGTCAATTGCCCGCTGCGTATGGTCCGCGGATAAACTCAAAGCCAGCCCTTGGCGGTTCCCCCACCCCTGGTCTGCCGAATCCCCTCTTCATTCGGTACGGTAGCAAGACGCCGGATCGGAAGCAGCTAGGATCCCATTTGACAACCCCACACGGGCGTTGGAATCGCTACAAAACATGTTGTGCTAACTCATCCTCTCTTGCTTCAAAGGAACCCATGCCAGCGCTCATCTTTCCCCGTCGTCAAATGCCCTTGCGCGCTGGCGCCCTCCCCCGATCGCCCGACGTGAGCCATCTTACGATGGAGCTGAACCCACACTCGGAATACGTGGTTCTGGTCTCGATGTATGAAGTGTACAACGATCGTATCTTTGACCTTCTTTCACCGGCTATCGTCCCTGGTCAAGGAAGCACAATGACTCGCCCGGGAGGTGGGCAGAAGGACCGCCGCAGACCGCTATTCTTCAAGTCGACGGAGGGATCGCCTGACAGGAAGGTCGTTGCGGGCCTGCGTAAGATCGCATGCTGCACTTACGAAGAGGCTCTGTCGGTTTTGGAGGTTGGACTTACTGAGCGAAAAGTTGCAGGCACCGGGGCCAATAGCGTCAGTTCCCGCAGTCATGGATTTTTCTGTCTGGAGGTCAAAAGAAGAATGCGCAACAAGAGAACCGGCGAAGAGACATGGATGGGAAACACACTCACAGTGGCCGATTTAGCCGGTATGTTCAGCTCAGCCTCTGCCTCGACATACCAAATGTGCTAATCAAGCATCAGGGTCCGAGCGCGCAAGAACTGCGAAGACGGCAGGATCTACCCTTGCGGAGGCAGGCAAGATTAACGAGAGCTTGATGTACCTCGGACAATGTCTACAGATGCAAAGCGATATTCAGGAAGGCAACAAGGTATGCCACACGAAGAAGCTTTTCTCTTGTCTTCGCCAGGTTTTCTGACTCAAAAAGGCGACTATGGTCCCATTTAGGCAGTGCAAGCTCACAGAGCTGCTCTTTTCGAACTCTTTCCCGTCGCCTGGTCAGGCTTTTGGCCAGTTCCGCCACCCGCAGAAAGCCATCATGATTGTGACGGCTAACCCATGGGGAGACTACAATGCGACCTCGCAGATACTCCGCTACTCCGCTTTGGCACGCGAAGTTGCTGTGCCCCGAGCCCCATCGGCCACAGAGTCCATCTTGTCCAGCACTCTCGAATCTCGTCATGGCTCTATTGGCGGACGTGAGTCGACGAATTCAGTCTCGGCCGAAGAATTGGAGAAGGCAGCCGCTGAGATCGAGCGACTCCGAGCCGAGAATGAGAACCTTTCAGTGAGACTCGCCGAGGAAGAGATCGTGAGAACGGACTTGGCCATGAGATTGAAAGCAAGCGAAGAGATGTGTCTCACCATCGAGCAAGACGTGCGTGAGGAATGTTGGAACGAGATGGACGAGAGGATGGAAGAAGAGAGACGCCGGTGGCAGAACGCTTGGGACGAGCAGGTGAGTTTCCTCTTCTGTGAACTGTGCGATTTTGACTCTAACTTCAGGCAGACTGGCCATAACGAAGAGCACTTGGATAAGAAGCTTGAGTTGTTTTCTCGGGGCTTCCAGAGTAAGTACCTGCCTCTTCTTGCTCGTGCTCTCCTGCAACATCGACGAAACTAATTCTCCTTCCAGTCTACGAAGACCCCAACACAACCAACAATGAGCGCATGGAGGAGCTCGAGTTTGAGAACGAGCAGCTGCGCAAGAAGGTCGCCGCGCTGGAGCGCGAGCTCACTTGCCGATCGCCCACCAAGAAGACCCGAGCCAAGACCACCACGACCACCACGACGCTCGAGCCCTCCCGCAACTCCAACATCCTCGGCCGGGAAAGCGATATCGAGAATGCCTTGAAGCGCATGGACCAGCTGAAACTGGCCGACAGTATGTTCTCGCCGGCCCCGCAGCAGCTTTCGTCTCCTGGCAAGAAACATCGCAAGATGGCCACCAGGAAATGGGACTTGGCTCCGGAGGAGGACATTTACTAAGGCTGCTTCGCGGGATGAGCTTCCTCTCTCCCGTCCGTGATGACCACTTGTACTAATCTGAATGATTGACCCTTTGGTGGGATTCTTGTTTGTTTGCGTCGGGGTTGAACTAGTCCTGCTTGTGGTTTATGATATCCGTCTGGAATGTTGGCGTTTGTGGGAAAATTACTGGAACTTTACTTCCATCCATGTTGCTATTCATGTTCATAAATTCTATGGCACAGTACAAAGCACATTCATTACTTGCACAGACATCTTGTGACCCAGCAGCTCTTCCCGGTAACGCCGACCTTGGTTTGTCCTTAGCTAAACGAAATGAAGAGGAATTGTAATGATACAAATTGTGGGAATCGAGGCTGACCCGACAAGGAACAATAGAGTTTCTGGGTCAAGGGCTGGCTCAAGGCTCTGCCTCAGTCATGTCCTCATCATCATCCGTGCCCGCAATCTCGAGCTGACCAGCGTCCGCGGCCGCGTCCACTTCATCGGCGGTCTCGTTCCCTTCCGCGTCGCCCAGGGGCTCATCCTCCCCATCGCCTTCGACATCACCCTCATCATCATCCTCGCCGCCAACTTCCTCCTCCTCCTCCTCTTCTTCCTCGTCTTCCTCGCCTTCTTCTTCCCCCCCCTCTACCTCTTCCTCTTCCTCGTCACCCCCTTCCATATCCACATCCCCTTCGTCACCTTCACCTTCACCCTCACCCTCACCCTCATCATCAATATCAACATCAACACCCTCAACCATAGTATCGCCCTCTTCCCCTTCCCGTTCATCATCATCATCATCATCTTCCTCCTCCTCACCCTCCTCCTCACCCTCTCCATCACCCAGCTCCACATCCACATCCTCCCCATCCGCCCCACTGGCCAGCCCCTCCAGCTCCGACTCGGGATCGAGCGACCCATCCCGGAGGTTGGGGAACAACAACTTCCGCTCCGTGGTGAGCTTAGACAGCTTCTCGTCGTCCATCTCGCTGAGCTCGCTCTCGTCGTCGGCGCTATCGTGCAGACTGGCGGGGATGGTATCGCTTTGCTGGCCCGAGGCCAGGTCCAGGTCCTCGGCCAGGCGGCCGCCGGTCTTGCTCTCCAGGAGTGATGGGCCTGCGGATGTGGATTCGGTGGCGGGAAGAGTTTGGGGATTGAGCGCCGCGGTGGTGGTTGTGGTGGTGGTAGGGTCGGTGGCTGTCGTGGTAGAGGTCTTGCGGCTACCCGGTCCTCCTCCTGCTGCTGATGCTGTTGCGGCGGTGCTTGGGGCAGCGGCAGAGGTGGAGGTAGTGGCGGCAGCGGATGTGGTGGGTAGACGGGGTGGGACTTTGCGGTGGACGATGGCTTCGGAGCGCTTCTGGATGTCTCGGCGGGCGATGCCTTTGGTGCGGCCGCGTGGGGCGGGGGCTTCCGAGGCCGGGGCGGAGGTGGGCGGCGTCGGGGTGTTGGTGGTGGTGTCGGCGGCGCCGTCGCTGTTGATCATGCTCATGCCGCCGCCGCCTGCTGCGGCACCGCCGGGGAGCGTGGGGTCGACCTTGAGCCGTTCTTTAGTCTCCTCGTGGGCTTGTTCGAGGACCTGCGGCATGTTGATCTGGTACAGGCGGGAGTAAACGTCGGCGATCAGGTCCTCCAGCAGGGCGACTTTCATTAGGCTGTTGTTGAGTTTCTTCAGCTCGATGGCGTCGCGGATGAGTTCCAGCAGGGATTCGCTGCCCGGCGCTAGGTCGGTCAGGCTCTCGAGGCGCGCCGTGTTGGCGACGAACTCCTCCCAGCCGATGGGCTTGAAGACACTCTCCTCGTGTCCTTCGTCGATGTGCGCGGCACGCCGGATCAGCCCCGCGTAGGTGAGGCACATGTCCTCCCAGAGTTTAGCGTGGTTGACAAAGTCGCCTTGCTTCTTGCGCACACGGCGGAGAAGTTGGTCCAGGTTGGCGCGGTCGTCGAGCTGGTCCAGGAGAGAGACGAAGAAGTAGGCGTATCGTGTGGTGTAGACAAAGTGACGCCCGGGACGCTCGTGTTCCGGTTTCCAGACTTGGATGGTCATGGTCTTGGTGACGATTTGCTGGGTGAGCTCGTTCTTGGCGGCGGACGCAGCTTCAATGGAGTCTTCGTCGTCTTCGTAGAGGATTCGTGCAGCCTAAGGAGAGGTCAGCGGAATCATCAGGTATGCATGGACTCGAAGCATTCAAACATACTCGGTACGCCATGCGATGGTGCCAGTTCGATTTGTCGGCATTCTTCAGGTTGCGAAGTACTTCGGAGATGTAGCGCTTCCAGGAAGCCTTGTCTTCCGGCGGCTGCACTTTGCGAGCCCAGGGCGTAGCGAGGAGCGTCTTGCTGGCGTCGGCGGGCTGTAGGATAATGTAAGCACCTGATGAGAGCGTGTCGGGCACATAGTGTCCATACCTCTAAGGCTCCGCGACGAACCAACTTGTGCACTACAGTCACAAGCTTGTAGTGAGGTTCGAATATCGGTTCCGACCGCGAATCCCTTCGTTGCGGCAGAGCGTCAATCGCATCGAGCAGGGAGTCTAACAAAGTGTCTAGATCGAGCTGCTTGAATGGCCCTCTGACGGAATCATCACAGCTGAACATCTTCCAGAGACACTTGCTTAGCATGTAATGAGTCCTGCATGCGGTTAGTCTTTTGTAGGTCGAACAGAACCATAAACACGTACATCCAGTTCTTGGGTTTGTCGACTAGAGCCCGCTTGAGAAGGTAGCTGGCGAGATTCCACACGGAGTATAGCTTCATCTCCTTGAAAGGTCGGCCTTCATACATGCTTTGGCTTTCCTCGTTGCTGAAATGCCGTGTGAAGTCTGCGAGACTAAATGCGCCCATAGACAGTGGTTCCCTAGAGGACGAGTAAAGGCGAATTCCGAAATCTGTGAACAGGTCCGCGAGCATCTCGCGGGTCTCTGGTGTTGGATCCGAGTTTCCCATGGCCGTCGAAATGGCCATGGCATAGCAATGAATAGAATAGCGCTGCCATGTTACCAGCTCCGCCCGGTTGTTGTTGATTCTGTCAGCTGTCCAGGTGATGTCTTCTTCCAACTTCGAATCGTATGTCTGCGCCAACCTGTACCAGGTCTCCCATCGCGCCGTTCCGTGCTCAATGTCTTGTCGGAAGCACATGACGGCATCATCAAGATCAGTTGTCGGGAGTGGGCTCAAGCGCTTCTGCGACCGAAACCTGGTCAAAGCCGCATACCCAAGGAGGAAGTACCAGCCATTCCGAGCGACCATAGCACTTTCGGTTAGCACTGGGATCAAGGATAAGCTTGCCACGCCCTGGATGGATCGGAAGAGCGCCAACGGGTTGATTGGAGACTTCAGATATGCATTTGTGATGCGCTTGTTGTAAGACAAAGGGGGAGATGACTTGGTAGTGCCAATGGCCTGCTGCATCTTCTCGATGGTGGATTTCAACTCCGACTTCGACAAGTCCTTGATGCTCATTCGCTGGGCTTGTTTCATCACCAAGTTCACCATGATGATAGCCGTGGTGCGATCCAGCTTCTCCGTTGGGCATTTGTGGTCGTCCAGTTCACCATACAAGGGTGAACACTTGATCCCGTTGATGTCGTACAGGAGCTGACATATGTCCCATTCAGTGTCATCGTTGACGCCGATAGCGAAGAGCTCAGATCTCATCAGTTTCAGGAATTGCTTGTGAGACAGTTTGCACATGAAGCGAATGCCCAGGCATTGATGGACAGCTCGCAAGTAGTTCACTCGATCTTCCGCAGGGGCCTCGAACTCCTCCTTTTCTTGAGACATAGCTTCCTTTACAAGTGTGTATTGCAGAATCCAGCAGCGGACCTGCATCTCGCGCAGTCTATCCTTGAGGCTCTCTAGAGACTTCGATAGCGCGCCGCGGACTTCTGGACCTGTGGTCGCACCGATGCGAAGTAGGTCCTCATACAATGAGAACCCGTAGAGAAGTCTAGTCAGAGAGGCCACTGCAGTCAACGAAGCCTTCAAATGTTCCATGTCAAAGCACTCGTATGCTTTGTCCGCGTCCAGAAGCACGGCTGTTACAGTCTTGTTCAAGATGCTATCAAGTGATTTGAGCCACCGAAGGAGGGTGATTTGACGGTGCTCACTGGGTTCGTCCGACTCGGATGAGATCTGAAGCTCTTTCATTATGATTTCGATGCTGCGCAAGTAGCAAGAAATGACCTTGGGAGGATAATCAATCTTCTTGTAAGCATCCTGTAGTCTTCGCCAGAGGAAGAGTCTCAGCGTGGCATCGCCGCGATCCAGGAAAATACTCATCTCGGTGATTTGAGAATTGGGCTCAAGTGGCTCGCTTCCCTCATCGATACCTTCGATCTGAAAAGACGCGGGCTCGAGAATAGGTTCAATGGTCTCAATGAGATCCACTGGGTCCTCTGAGCTGGGGTTGAAGATCTTCATGAAGAAGTCCATGGACTTGAGCTTCGAGATCTCTTGATCAACAGCCTCGGAAGACAGTTCAGGCATGATCGCATTGTTCACAAGGCCAATTACTGGATCTTTCAAGCGCTCAAAGAGGAATTTTAGCTCCTGAAGACAGAGCAATACATGCTCTCGGTGGATGTCACTGGCCATATTGGAATGAAAAGTCGATGCCCATATGTGTCGCAGGGCAAAGACCTCCTGGCAGCTTGTGCTAGCGTGGCTGTGGTCAAGGAAGTGTGATAAAGCGGTACGTGCGAGGAGGCTCCATCTCCCCAAGCGATCGCGCTGCTGAATCCTCGTTCTTCCATCCACCTCACTATTAGGATTATTAATTGACGCGTATATGTCAAGGTGAAGTTCAAAAAGTGTTTGAATCATTTCCAAATCAGAGAAATGAGCAAGCGTGTATGAAAATGTGGATTCAGCTTGACCTGCGAGAATTTGAGTCTCAAGGCTTTGCAGCTGTTCGTGCATGCTTTCGTAAATAAACTCGTCTTGGTGCAGTATGAGCTGCACCACAGTCTCCTTCAGTGAGTCTGGCCACTGCAGCGACGTGTATGCGGACTCCATTGCAGGCCACTTCCGTGGCACAACATGATCCATCGCATGCTTCGCAAATTTCGGCATTAATAGAGCTTTGAGCCAGGCAAGGGCAGCATCGCGAACATGCATAAGCTCATCATTGACGCTCGTGGTGAGTCTGAAAAGTCTCTCGTCATCAGCGAGAGCCTGTTTCACCCCCAGCTTCCTGGCCGACTTTCTCGAGTGTTCCAAGAAGATAGCCAGCCCGGAGTTTCCCATTCCTCGAATATCCTGCAAAGTAGACAGGCTGTCGGGCTGGTAGGTGACCTGGGATCTTGCTTCATCCCAGTTTCGGAGTGTGTCTAGCAAATCCCCGACCAGATGGTGGCCTTCGTGGGACTCGTCAGCCGAGATATCAGGCGACTCTTTGCGATCAACCATCGCCCGCACGGCTTTTCTGAGCTCATCGATGTCGCTGAGATCTTCGACGCCGAACTTGGCCAACAAGGGGCCGACAGCTGACTGCATTGAGTCATCCGCCTGCACATAACCTTCGAGGCGGTCATCATAGAACTTAGCATAGTCAGCAGCCAAGTCCACCGCCTGCGAAGAACTATCTGCGTGTGCGGTTGACTCTCGAAGCCGTGTCCTTCTGCTCTTCGCCCTCAGATTGTCGACATCGTCGGGTTGGAAAAATGCAGACGAACGCTTGCGACCTCCTGTTAGGGGCCTTGCACTGGCTTCTTCCATGTTCGCATTCTCTGGTTGAGTGCTCGGACCGGGGGGCTCCGATGACTGCGTCTCTAATGATTCCATGAGCTGCTTCTCTGCGCGTTGATCGATGGAGGAATGGTCGTCAGCAACTTCTGATTTCACGCGAGGAGCGCCATCTGTAGCCTGCTCGGATTCAGCAGGCGCACGGCTGGCTTGTTGCCTTTGTGAGTCCGTCTCCTCTGCCGGTGGATGGTAGACGGGAATGGCAACTTCTATGGTACTCTTGAGCTCGGGACTGGGAGCTGGAAGCGATATCTGAACCGAGGTTCCAGGTTTGATCTCTGCTACACCCAGCTCGTCATCAATGAGGGACTGAAGTATAGCTTTTCCTAGCGCAGCCCATGTAGGGCCAACGGGCCTGATTTCATGACGTGAGCTCTGTTGGGAAAGGTGAGACCTTGACGCGTGGAGATCCTCGACTTGCTGTGGAAGTGCCGGAAGGTAAGGGAATGGATCAGCCTGCCTCCTGAGGAATTTCAGAAGGGCCTTTTTCGGCTTCTTGAGAGGAACCTGAGACACGGAGAGTCGGTCGTGCACCGACAGCAGAGTTTCACGCAGACGCTCCTCCGCGAACGTCTCCTCCAAGCCTAGCTGCTCCGTGCGCACTTCCAGACGATTCTCGTCGTCTGCCAGGACGCTCTCCAGGCAGTACCGCGTGAGACGATAGCTCTGTAGAGTGCTACAGAGCCTTGCGCTCTGTCTCCAGAGATTGAGGTCGGAGTCATCGCGCTCCAGCGCCTCCGCGAAGGCTGCTAGAGCGGCGCTGGCCTGTTCAGTGACCTGGGACGATAGGTCCGCAGCATCCTGTACATCAGTAGCCTGACCCTCCAAGGCCGCGCGTAGAGCGTCCAACAGGAATTGACCGTGGTTCTTGTAAGCCAAGTAAATGGTCTGCATCAAAGTGCTCGACGTGGAGTCATTGATGTCGAACTCCGCCAGCGCCTCTGCGGCTCCGGCGCCTGCAGCGAAGTCAATGGGAAGGTCGGAATCCTGCAAGTTGGCGCGCTTGTAGTCGGAGATGGACTCAGGATACTTGAATATATCGGAGTTTAACAGGGCATCATAGGCCTCCGCGGCCTGCGCATAGAACTGCGGGCCCTGGGAATGAAGCTTCAGCGCATTTTGGTACAGCTTCAGCGCTTCCTCAATCTGAATTTCCTTCGTATCGTCGACCTCTTCCTCGATTAGTTCATCGGGCTCGATGTTGAGCGCCGCCCAGCTCGACATGATGTCGGTGTGAATTTCAGGGTGCGCAAAGCTCCCGGACTGCGGTACAAGCCTTGAGGCTGACCGGCCGCATCGCAAGAAGTTGCAATGGCCTTAGACAGCACAGCTCCGACCGAAGAGGGGGGAGGGCGCTAGAGTAACAAGCCCCGGAAGTAGTTGTGAAGATGAAAATGACAAGAAGGAAGGATGGCAATGATTGATGGAGTGGTTGTTGCACCAGCGGGGTGGGTCTAGAGCCAGCCGGCCGCGAGTGAGACGCATTCCGCCCATTATTAGATGCCAGAAATCGCGCGTGTGCCCAAAAGGGAAAGGCGGTACCTGGCCCGGCTGTCCCCATGGCAGTTGGTTGCCTGAGGTACCCGACTATGTATTCAAGGTTGCCTGAGGTACTCCGTACTATTTCCCTATTGATGATCGGCGGGCGCGGCCGTGACGACGACTTGCACTTCGGTAGCCCAGCCAGTCTCCCGTGTGCGCCTCGCTATCTTTCTTGTCTATCGTTTGATCTCTAAAAGGGTATATCGCTTCCAGAACCCGAATTTTATCTTTTCAATCCAAGTGCTTTCCAATCAAGTGCTTGCGCCATGGTCGCGCCCGCAGTGCCTGAGTAAGGCATTCCCTCTCTCTCTCCCCCCACCCCTCCCTCCATTTACGTGTTCTTGCCGACTCGGACTCGCTATCTACAGCTCAATTGGGCCCACCGTTGTCGACCTGGCACTGACAACCCCCTGAATGTCTTTAGGATCTACGAGGAGGAGGACATCTACGCCGCTGTCGATGCACGCACCGAATCTCTCCAAAACCTTCGGGAATTAGGTCCGCCCGACTTGGTTTACTTGGTCAAACAACCTAAGACCAGCTCTCATCGCCAGGTACGTTCGACGTCGATCGACCACCCCGGTCGGAGTGCGCAGAGATAACAAGAGCTGACTTCGCGGCGCTACACTCACAGACTGGAGTCTATCACCATGTCACCGGTGTCGATGCCTCGTCGTCCGCCAGCTTGGCCGCCTATGTCAACACACTCACCTTCTCCCCGCTGGATAAGACACACAAAGTGGTTTCGGGGATCTACTGGTTCGCCCATCGGTCAAAGCATCTGCCAGTCTAGGTGTGCTAATGTCTACGCAGCTGTTACAATGCCTTCTCCCATCTCGACATGCGCGTGGAAGTGAAAATCCCGGGCAGTCTGGAAAGCTACTGTATCGATGAGCGGGGCGACAAGCGAGTTGCGACGGAGGCGTTGTGGTTGGAGACCTTTCTCTGCGGGATTCTGAGAGCATATACCTACGCGGACGATGGCAGCGGCGATTCAATTCGCAAGATCGTGGGAGTCCGGCGATTCAACCCAGTGACGAATACGGAGATGGAGCACAAGTTCCTGGACGCCGCGGAGAGACTGTTCTTCCTGGGTATGCCTCTTCATTATCTTTCCACCGTGGTACATCGCTGACACTGTCAAATCAGGCCGACAGCTGAGTTCCGATCCGGAGACGCAAGTGCCGAACACTGTCAGCAACCATCTGACGTCGGGTCTTTTGAAGTACATACAAACCACGGGACGCTACACCTCGGGCATCAATTTGTTTGAGAAGCTGCGCACACGAGACGTCGAAGTGTCGTCGCTTCTGGCCCGAGTTCTGATCATGGCTGATGAGGAGGTGCAAGCGGTGAGACTGATCTTCGACGCTTTACAGGATGTGCCGATGGACTACGCCCTGCTTGACTGCCAAGCAGCGTTCTGCCAGAGCAAAGGCGAGGGCGAGATGGCCTTGGAGTGTGCCAAGCGGGCGGTCACCGCCGCTCCCAGTGAATTCAGCACCTGGGCCCGACTGGCCGAAGTATACGTCGGTTTGGAGCAATGGGACCTGGCGTTGTTGACTCTGAACTCGTGCCCCATGTTCACATACCAAGATAAAGACACCCCGCGCATGCCTCAACCAACGCGCATCATGCTGCCGATTCTTGCCGAGAGCATGCTGGAGGAGATCGATGAAGGACAACCGCGCCAGGGCGACCCTGCCGACTATGTCCACCCCTCCCTGCGCCGTCTCCACGCAGCTAGCTACCAAGGAACCTTCCTGAAGGCCTACAACCTTCTGACCAAGGTCGCGGCGGCCATCGGCTGGGATCAGCTCCTCAAGATCCGCAGCGAGGTGTTTGTCATGGAGGAGGAATACCGCGTTGAGCGCCAACATTCTACCTCCAAGCACACGCGCACCAACACGCGCACCTCCGCGGAGGTCAACGGGGGCGATGGGCAAGAGGATGAGGACGACGACGACCACCACAACGACGCGAACACGGAGGACGCCGAGAAGGAGGACGAGGGCTCGCCCAACGGCCTCAAGGACGAACAAGTGGAAAGTTCGATCGAAAAGCCCGAGCAATCAATGGCATCCGAAGTGATCAAATCCGGCAATGAAGATGTAAGTCCTCCCCTTCCCACCGATTCAAGAACCCTTTTCCTCGACAATACTAAGACAACTACCCACTAGCCCGACCCCTCCCATTCCGCGTACACGCAGTTCCGCAACAAACGCCTCTGCGAACGCTGGCTCGACAACCTCTTCATGGTCCTGTACGAGGACCTCCGCATCTACACCATCTGGCGCACGGAGATGGCGCAGTACCGGCAGCAGGCGATCGAGTACAAGAAGTCGGCCACGGAGTGGGAGATCCTCGGGGAGCTGGCCGAGCGCCTGCACCACTTCGACGAGGCGATCGAGGCCTACCAGCACGGCCTGGCCATCCGGTTCGCCCCCAAGGCCATGCGCGGCGTGCTGAAGCTGTACGAGAAGAAGAACGACACCCGCGGCATGCTGGGCTCGTTGATCCGTCTGATCGCCTGGCAGTACCGATGGTACTCCGAGGTATGCTCTCACCCATCATCACACCCAATCCCTTTACCCCCCTCCCCCCTCAAACCATAAGCTAATGCACCGCACGAAAAGTTCTCCCCCGAACTCCTCTTCCTCATCCGCAAACTCATCGAAGACGAAGGCGCCGTCAAGGTCCGGAGCATCGTCCAGGCCACCAACCTCCCGCAGCCCGTCCTCGACCTCACGCATCAGTACTGTCAACTGTGCGCCACCTTCCGAAGCAGTGGCAGTGATGGTTAGATGATCTCCATGTTTTCTAAATGTTTTCCGCGCCGTACTGGGCTGCGGTTTGTTATGGGTTTCCGGGTAGTGGAGGTCGATGCAAGGGTAGCGGGGGGGTTGGTGCTCCAGGGGAAAGGGATGCGGGGGATGCGATGCGATGCGGGTGCTGTGTAGCGAGCTGGAAGGGAGGAAGGAAGCCAGGAAGGAAGGGAGGGAGGGAGGAAAGTAATACAACTCATATCCACCACACCACACCACACCACACAACTCAATTTCCTGTATGACTTATGTGATTCCTAGTCGAGATGAACGAATTAGTTTTCAACTTTGATGTTTGTTCGGTCGGAGGAGGAAGATGGAGTATACATTGTAGTTCTGTGCTGAGGTCATGGGTGGACTTTTTTGCTTAGCTGGACGGGGAAGACGGAACGTCTATTGCTGTCGGGTTGTTGTTTGCTCTATCCAGGGTGTTCGATCTTTCAGTGAGGGTATTGTGCTTAACGTATTAAGGGTGATCTGAGGTGCGTATTGTTCTGCTCTAGGCGGTCAAGTCGACTGATGGCGTTGGTTGGCTAAGGTATCTACCGACCGCTATCCCTAGCAATCCCAACCAAGCGCGGGATGACTACGATCGGTCAGATCTGAGGTGAAACAACAGCTTATCGTCGCAACCAGCGAAATCCATGATACCCTGAAACTACCCAGCCAGTTCTTCACCGGCCAGCATGATAATGATAACATCCTGAAATAACCAAATAACCGAAGTAGATAACGATGATAGCTCACGGGGCTTGAGAATTACCAAACATCTTGGAAGAATCAATTCGAAATCGCTGCCTTGGGGTAGAAGACCAAAGAATACGGGGCACAGGAACAGTGATCACTCGTCATCGCCCTCGATATTTACCTCAGGCTCCTTGGGAACGACACCTCCCTTGGCCTTCGCGGCCGCCTTGGCGGGTCCACTCTCCTTCGCGGTATCATCTTCCTCTTCGAGGTCGTCGTCGGCGAGCTCTTCCTCTTCCTCCTCCTCATCAACGCCGTTCTCGGCATCGTTTTCGCCGTTCTGCGCAACCTCCTCCTCCTCCTCTTCCTCGTCAGCCGGAGGAGCTGGAGCGGTCTTTCGTTTCTTAGGCGCAGGGGCTGTCAAGGATATGAGATTAGCGCATGGTCTTATTTTCAGTAGATGTATCACTATGCTGGGCTCTTTTTCTGGGATCGTAGGGACAGGATAGGCAAGGGAGGCAGATAAGAATGAAACATACCTTCTTCTTCGGGCTCTTCAGCCTCGCCCTCGGCTTCCTCGTCAAATTCCTCCTCCTCCTCTTCCTCCTCGCTGCCAAGGTCGCTTTGCTCTACCTCGGAGTCTTCATATCTACTGTTTTGTTAGTGCTTGGTAGGAATTGTGATTGGCAGTGATGCGATTGTCCTCAAGGGGCGGTTTGGGAAAGCGCGCAAAGAGAAGGGGGGAGCTCATGCGCCATGAATAGGAAGAGCAACGAATGCGAATGCGAATGCGATATGAGGGAGGAAAATAACTACTCACTCTTCTTCTTCCTCGCTGTCTTCAGGAAGTGATTGAAGCTCCTCCTCTTCCTCGGCTTCTTGCTTTCTCTTACGAGTAGACATGATGTATAGTGATTAGGATATTAAGAAAGAGAAGAACAAGTCAATTGCGCAATTGCACAACTAGTGGATGAATTGGTATAGATAGAGTTAATGGTAAAAAGGACAACGAAAGGTCCCAGGGGCAGAACGGGTGTATGAAAGAGGTAAAGAGAGTGTGTGAGAGTAAAGTAGGGAGAGGGAGAAGAGAGGGGGGGAAGAGCAAGCTGGGGGTGTGAGAGAAGTATAAGAGGGAAACGGGCAGAGAGAGGGGACGGCCGGCAGGGAACAGAGGAAACGGACAGCCAGCCAGCCAGCCAGCCAGCCAGGACAAGCCTCCTCACAATCCAAGGGAAGGGGGAGAGATCCAGTTTGGGTGAGGGGACAGTCCCGGATGAGGGAATGGATGAGTGAGCATTAATTCGGTCAGTCAGTCAGCCCGGCCCGGGGCAGTTCGTCAGCCCCAAGCAGTAGCAGCAGCAGCAGCAGGAGCAGCGCAGCGGCGCGAGAAAAGCGCGCACTGGAAAACCAACACCAGCTAAACAGGAAGAAGAAAGCTGCTGCTACTTCTGCTCCAGGTCTGGGGCTCGCGTTCCCGTCGCATTGCGCGTCGATTTAACGGTGCCGAGGCCGTGCGCCTAGAAGTTCCTGGGCAAGAGTTGAGTGACTCCGCAGTGATGACATGAATGACATGACGATTATCACCGCGGTAATCGCTGCTTGGTCGGTTGATTCTCAGTTCGCCATGGAACGATAAAACTCCCAGAGACTTCAGGTCCCCTGGATCTGAAGAAAGGTTGACATATGGATGAGTGGGAGATGAGAGGAAATCATGGTCGAGTGTCCTAGAGGAAGAATTAGGAAGGGAGTGGGAGGAGAAAGAGGAAGGAAGGGAAGTGCAAACAGACAGACCTGAACAGACCTGAAGATGGCGGGTGAATGGCGTATGGTAAGTGGGGTGACAGTACCGGACGGGGCGGGGGGCGCACAGATACTCCGGGGCAATGGCAGCCATTGTAATCCACCTTACCAGGGCGGTAAGTTACTGGCAGTGGGCTTAACTTGTTCTCTGGACGTGGCAAGAAAAGAAACGAAACTCATGATGATGTCAACCTCTTGTCACACTTACTCACTCTTAAGTCCGGCGATTACGCAGCTTACTCGAAGAGGGTAGACTAAGTTACTACAGGGGTATCATAAGGTAATTTTACATACATAGTACCTACCATACAGCCAACTCCAACCTAACGCAATGCGGACTCGACTCTGCTGCCGGGGGAGGTGGAGATGGCGAAAAGCACAGACTTTCTGAGGTTAGTTGGTGCAAGCTTACACAGACTACCTAAGTTACATAGTAAGTAAGTTTAATTACCTGAAGTCCCATTGAGCAACACAGCTATTGAGCTGCCTCGGGTTATTTACATTCCATGCCTTCGTCCACCGGAAGAGACTCCAGGCAAACAAATGCAAACTATCATAAGCCCACCGTACTACCAAAGAAGTTCCTTCAGAAAGAACAAAAAAAAAGAAATTGATTGAAATGAGGTACAGTATGTACATCAGCAATGCCGTCGCACAACAACACACTAACTAGAACCGACAGTGTGGAGGCTAGGGGTAAATCCTCCCAGGGCGGCTGCCCGCCCCTTAGACTACTACTTAAGTATTAGTAGTCTCTCGAGCCAAATCGCGCAGGTCTCCCACCTCCACAGCCTCTGCCCTGAAATCACCAGCTAGTCTACCTAAGCTCATTATCATTCTTCCTCCAGGCGCTTTGCCGTGTGATCAATCTTATTCTCTTCCCATGGTGAAAGCGCAAAATCCCCCTGCCCGGTCTGCCGTCGTGCGCTGCGCAGTCTGCTTCCCGTACTCGTTCCTACTTATCTGTGGAACAGTGCTTCTGGGTGCAGAGAAAGTGGTCATCGCTCGCTTACTAGGTAGCGTAGCTGTATGTAAGTAGTCATCGAGACTCCCGACGGTTTCCATCTCATCGTGTGAGAGGTTATCTGGTGGCTCTACTGTACCTTCCACTAGCCAGATACTCGTTGGCTCGAACGTTCATGGTCGAACAGGACCGACAGTGTGTGTGGTAAATGCGATGGGATTTGTCTTTCTCGCAAACCAGATAAACTGGGGAGGGGGGTTTATGGTGAGGTCAACTGTTAACCTCGAGGACTATCGCTGAAGAGACGGCAACAATGTACCTAGTAGTATCAGGTTCGCCTAGATGAGTCCAATATGTCTATATCCAATTTCTCTCGTCTAAGCCGCATCTATTGAGCCAGAAATTCAAAACTCGCCATACTGGGATCCAGTAAGTTCTCATCCAACCCAAACCCATACGTGCCCACCATATCGTATATCAGATCCGGCGGCGGGAACCCTTGGGCCATGGCGTTGGCGCCCCCGGGGACGTCGCTGCTCCCTTTCGCATCGGCGGCCGCGGAGTCAGCCACAGCCGTGCCATTCGTGTGCCACGAGTCCCACGAGTCGAACCGCTCCAGCATCTTTCCGAGCCCACGGGCGATATGCCTCGTCAGATGTCTCTCGCCCGCGGAGACACAGTTCAGCAACTCGATCACCCGCTCCACTAGACGTCGGACCTGGCGGCCGTCGAGGCTGAGGTAGGCCGAATTCCAGTTGATGGCAACTTTGAGTAGAAACACGGCGGAGAACGTGATCATCGTATGGGTGAAGATCGGGACTCCCACGATTGCGTCGCGGATGTCGGGTTCTTCTAGCACCATATTTAAGCACGCCATGGCGGATGCGATGGCCGTGTTGGCCGACTCTTTGCGGTCCATCGAGAAGACGGGGGTGTTGGACGGGGACAGAGCCCGCAGGGAAAGTGAGTTCAGCTGAAATTTGGCGAAGTGGTAGTGAAGCACTACCCCTTTAGATGGGTAGGTCCGCACATACGGGCTATCGCCTATACCGGGGGTAGATACTTTAGCAAGCGCAGAAAATTTATTGTTCAAGCGAGAACATACCGGATCGTGGCTGCCACAGCAGCCGCCATTGGTCGATGGCCACATTGAAGACTCGTAATTGACCAAAATCTTCCTCGGTGAATGGTTGCTCGGTATCACTTCCAAAAGTCCGGTAAGCTTCCGTGAGGATCATGAACAGAGCCACCTGTGCCATGAGCCGGATGTCTCCTGGTACGACCAACGGCGATTGCAGAAATGTCTCGTAGTTTCTGATAGCGGCATCTTCGTGGATCACGGGTGGTCGTCCGTACGCGATACTGAAGTGGTGATCGCACACATACATCAGGTACCAGAGCTGAGCACGCTCGTACTGGTCGTTGTGACCGCGCATCATCTTATGGTAGCTCTGGTGAAGACCTAGTTCGGTGGCAATGCGAACGGCATGGCCTGACAGCTTCCAGCTCAGCTCCGACAGCCAGAACGCCCCAATACAGAGCGCGCGAATATCATCCAGGGTGTGAGACCGTGTCAGAGACATGCTGGACACAAGTGATACATACTCGTTGTAGCATCGGTTCAGCGTATCCGTACGGTTCGGGATATGAAGTGCTGCAACTGTCAGGACGGCAGTGCAGAGAAGCGAAGAAGCTCGACGGACAGAAGTCAGATCACGATGAACCAGGATAATTCCACCCCAGAGCAGCTGGTTCATCGTCCTGCTGAAGTAGGCAAAGAGCTCTTCGGCCTCGTGAAGTGAGATCAACCCGCGCGAGATGAAGTCCTCCTCCAGGAGTGTCACTTTGGGTTGCTCGATGGGATTATTCCGCAGGTTGCGCAGCTTGGTGACTTCGTATAGACTCCGCATGGGCGCTGGCACTAATTCGCGATCTTGAAGATCCGGTTCCTGAGAAGGCTCGCGTGTAACATCCATTATCAGTCCCGGCTCCGCCGATTGTTTGGTCGCGGGCGACCCATCATATGAAGGTTGCAGGTCAGACTGAGACTCGGCAGGGCTGGTGCCACTTTGGTTGTCGCCGCCAGCAAACGATGAAAGCTCTGAAAACCCTCCCTGGCGCAAAAGATGTGAGACAGCCGCCTGCAGCTGTCGGATTGTGGCTGCAGCTTGCGACTTCCACCTGAATGGGTCGAGATGTTAGTATGGACCGTACATTAACAGCTAGTATAGTTTAAACCAGATAGACACTCACATCACATCATCGTCAACAAACTTCTGGGAGAAGTCGTTCACCGTGCATTTTATGCCACTACGTGTGCACTTTGTGCAGCTTGTTTCTCCTGCTTTGAACTCACAACGTATCTTGTGTCGCTTGCACTCCGCGCCTGAAGTACTCGTTCAGTATCTGGCGTGTAGAGCTTTCCGTAATTCCATAAAGAGGGGGTGGGTTCGAAGGCGGGGCTTAGCAAATATCACAACCAGGGGAACTCACACGCGCGAGCTTTGGAGATCCTTGGGGCCGAGGGTCGACCATCAGGGATAAGAGACGGCCGTCGGCTATGCTGGGGTGGACTTTCGTCCAGATTGGCTTCATGTGAAGAGCGCTTCATGGTGTTCGACTGCCGATGGATCGGGGATACTCCGGCATTATGCAGCCAGCAAGGATAGACAGTTTGGCGAAGAGGATCGATCTACAAGCGATCCACTAACTTTGCCCGTTAATTGAGGGGCACAAACGAAGGGAGAAATCCTCTTAGAACCTAGAGCTGAAAACCAGCAGAATGGTCGGCAGAAGAGAGACGTTTTGAATTGAGGTGGGGAAAAGGAAAGAATGGGAGGTGACGATGGCGGGTCAACCCCGCTTCAATAATCCACTCGACTCGACCCTGTTGATCCTCAACACCTCAGCTCCAGGCTTCTGGGTTCTACTGCCCGCCATGGATGTCGATGATACGATAGCTCAATACCATCCTTCTCCTTCTTGAATCTCAAAATCTGTCCGAGTGCACCTGTGCCACAACTGCGATCTCCTGAGCAACCCAATCCTCGCAATTGTTGACATTTTTCCTATCCAGACGGTGTTTCAGGCACGGGATCTGGGGAAAAACACTGCGGGGTACGCCGTGAACGTGCAAATCTTCAACCATCACCTCCTCCATCTTCAATCAACTGAGCCTCCTTCCAACGAGAAACATACTTCAAGACAACTATGCAAGCTAGCTCAAGTGGCGCCTCCACTGAACTACTGCCGTGGTGGCTGACATCTTCCGATCTCTGCCGTCATTTTTCGAGATTACGAAGACTAGCGCATCTCGCCGACCAGCCCAATTGCCAAATCCAAGTGGCCTCGCGCACTTCGGCCCTGACAAGTTCCATGACACAAGCATTTACCAAACTCAGTATGATGAATTCTTAGAGTAAGTATGTTTCCGGGTTAAATCCGGGTTTTGTGGAGAAGATATACTCCTCATCTCGGAGTTGATGCGAGCCTGCGGAGGATAGTCCGATCATCATATCAACGCACTCACACCATCCAGATAACTACGAAAGACGCCGGATAAGTATATATCTATCTTCCAGCCAGAAGCTAACTTGAGTCTCCTTATATACTACTTACTCCGACGACTGACAACAACATTCATCGCCAGCATGTGAAGCATTCCCATCACCTGTACCCTCGGCGTCCTCGTTCTTGTTGGGATAATTTCGAGTCGCTTAGAGAGTAGAGATGCGTAATTCCGGCGGAGAGCTGGAGTTTTTTAGTCGTGGCTTTGCGCGCCGACGACGTTGATGTATGATTTCCGGCTTACAATGGGTTGGAGGGCGATGTTCTCCTACGTGTATCCTATTAGCAATTTAGTATACAGGGATCTCTCTTGCAGTCTGAGAGATGATAGTTGCAATATGACTTAGGCCGGGTGGGGCCTTTGAGGAGGTTGATGGAAGTTATGTTTCGCTTTGGAGAGTATGAGATGGTGGTGGGTTGGGTGACAGTAACGAGGCAATGCACAGTACGAGTTCAGGTGTTTGGTTAGATTAGGACATTGGCATTGGCGTTATCATCAAAGCGTATATGTACAATTTGCAATTCTCGTTCCCGTCAAGCCGAAGTTGAAGAAAAATATAAGACATTCAGAAGCAAATCATGGTCACATGTGAATCCCTCCTTCCCCTGCATCGATCATCAACTGCTCCAGCATATCCATCGAAGTATCACGTAACCCTCCACCCATTCAGGTACCGACTTTCGCAAACGAAGGGGTGATAAGGAAGCGGGAAATACTTATTTCCAAACCTGAATTAAGAAAGAAACACCTTAGCAAACCGCACGATCGCAAGAGGGGCTTAGTAGCTCGCCCAGACCTGTCCATCGATAGCCACGAGCCGATTAAACAGCTGATTGCGGGTCTTCATGGCCGTGAGCTGATAGTTCTGCTCCGGAAGCTTGCCGACCAGATTGAGGCCATCCACCACTTCCTTGCTGCCGACCGCCCATCCGGTCACCAGCTTGCCCTTCCAGCCCAGCCCACCCACCTTGCGCATCTCGCGGATGTCGGAGACGGGCATGGTGAAGAGGACGGAGCTCTTAGAGCGGCGCGCCAAGGTGGGGTCGTCGACTTGCACCGACTGGTCGGTGGTGAAGTACAGCAGCGGCGGGGACTGCGACTGGTCGATAACGAGTACGCCGCGCTTTCCGCGGTAGCGGCCGTCGAACTGCACGGGGCCCGAAGGAAGGGTGATCTGGCCCTTCTTGCGGAGTACGCCGACGCGGCCCTTGGCCCGCTGCGAGCCCACAGCCGCTTTGGCCCGGTCCACGGCCAGCTTGCTCTCAATGCCGGTCGCTGTCGTGCCCCGAAAGAAGCCGAGCATCCGGCTCGCGAATCCTTTCTTGGGAGGCTGCGGGTGGATCTCCTCGTGCTGCGTCGAGTCAGTTTGAGGTTGCGGCGTCGGGGCGATGGCCGCGTTGATCTCTTCGTCTGTCGCGTCGAGGTTGATGTCCTCGTTGCGCACGTGGGCGGGTTGGTCGGGAGTGGCGTGCAGGGAGTGGGATGGGGGAGGGGGCAGAGGGGCGCCATTGGCTTCGCCGATGCGGAGGAGGGTTAGTGTGAGCTGGGCGTTGGTGGGGATGCCCTTGAGGAGGGAGCTGCGGCATTAATGTCAGTAGATGAAATGATGCTTTCGATGATTTGGAGGGAGGCATACTTCTGTAGCTCGAGGAGTTTCTCCCAGCGGGGGAATTCACGATTCAGGTATGCCACTCCACGTCTGATGATTGGGTCACCGAAGAATGCAAAGCCCACGCCAAAGGTACTCATCTTGACGAACATGTGGCTGGAGATGATAAGGGACGCGAGGAAGCCTACTGATAGCACGCTCGCCAATCGGAGGTATGGAGTGATCATGGAGAAGGGAGGTGTCGGAGACAAAGCACTGCCGATCGTCAACCACGGATCACCCTGAGGATTCGTGAATGCGGGATCACTTACTTGCCAAACCTCTCGTAGGTGTCGATGATGTCGGCAAGGATGCGCATGGCTAGGTTTGCAGCGTTGTAGACTGTATCCCTCATGGGCTCCTTGGTTTTATCGTGAGATTCATCCGTGCTCTCTCCGTGAGCGGCAGTCTGCGCATCCGCTGCACTAGTGGCTATCTCCATGGCATCTGGCACCGATGACTCGATAGGCGCATCTTCGGGAGTTCCCTGGTCATGTTTGCCGGCGACGCTACCCACGGCGACACTGGCAACACTGGTGATGAGATTCGATGCCTCTCTTTCGGCAGCTTCACCCTTCATCTTCTCCGGCGCCCCCGTTATACTGTCGTGAGAACCCAAAACCCCTGCCTTAGGTTTCTGTATACCCCCTGTGTCCGTGCTTACCAATGGAATAGGCGCAGGAGGGAACAGGAATTCGCGAGATTGAGGAGAGACAACCAGGACCAGAAGAATGGCGAAAAGTGTAGGCGCAAGGAGGTCAAGCATCCATGCAGCGAAATAGACCTAGAGAGCCAGTCAATGTTACTGCCAATAGCAACGGCCTTTCGATGTTAACCTACAATGCAGAACCCTGCTGTCCGGTTGCGCTCCCGCCATGAACGCAGTCTTGCAATGTGCTTGACGAAGCCAGTCAAGGAGACGACAATACTAGTATAGAACCGCTCGAGGGTTGCTCGCAGTTTGTCAGGGGAGAACTGCTCGTCTTCCGCGCGGTTCAGGTCGAGCCGCTGGAGGGGAGCCTCCGGCAATGCTTTGACATAGTAGATTTGCTGCGCGAGTCAGCGTCTAAAGCTCTTCTGAATTGGTGCAGAGATGTATACCTTGTTGAATCGTCGGATGAGCATCCATAAGTCTTCATTCGACAAACCTGAGACCACGCGCTCGTGGATTTGTTCCGGCGGTTTGTCCCATCCCACGTCAGTGATAGTGTCGGTATCCCCAGCCCTCTGGGCGAGACCCTTTTCATCCTGGTCTACTTTGGACAAGACATGACTATCGGTGGGACCGGAAACGTCGGCAGTGGTGCGTTCAGCGTCTAGGATGCCTGCGCGACTGTTCTTTGTGCTGTAGGATACTTGCTGTGCATTGTTGGTGGTGGTATCAAGTTGAGACATGCTGCAGATGGGGTCCGAGAAGACCACACATTAGCAGGGATTAGAAGCGGAGTCGAGAAGCATATGCTTGGGAGGAGGAACGGAGCTGGCGCATGTCAAAGGGCTTTTGAAGGCGAGTTGGGAGGTGGAGGGTGGGTAATCGACGTCATCGCATGATGAGCCAGTCAAGCCCGCAGATCGGAGAACTGGTGTTCCTGTATCTTGCTGGGGAACCTTTTTAGCTTGATCTCACTGACATATGCGTACCTATTATAACTCCACTCTTGCTGCTGACAGGCAATTGACTTCCTGTCCGTTAAACTTTTTGCTCTTGTGCGACGTTCCAACTCCTGACTTCAGTGCAACTCGGTCCTGTACAGTACCTTACCTTTGGTGGTGTAAGAGTATAGTCACCCGCGCAACCAATCAAGGTTCAATGTGTGCGGCACCGCCATAGTTGAGCCACAATTATATCATGCACCAGCCACATGTGGCGACTCGCCGAAAGAGGAAATACGCGTGAATCTCAGGACTCTCGGCCAGCGCGTTGGAAGCGAGGTTGAGGTCCAAGCCGCAACGTCACTTCGCAGGCCCAGACCTTCGCAAGTGGCCACGCAAGCTGTCCATCGGAAATCCAGGTGTGATGTGGGGATGACATTATTTCTTCCATCTCTTCCATTGGCGTGTCCCATCGAGAATTGCCGTATGCCCATGGGGTCTAGCTTTGCCAGTGCCGAAACATGAGCGAAACATGCGCCAATCCCCTGTTGCTGGGGTGGATCAAAGAATGGCTCGACCAGGCACGAGAGCGCAATAGCAAAGGAGCGATCGTGTGAGTAGTGTAGTGCATTGGATCTCCGAGGGGTAGATATCTTGACTGACGCTTGGACAGGTACAAGAAGGCCTATGATTCTATGAAAGCTTGTCCACTGGTCTTCCAACACCCCTCGGAAGCCCAACAACTCAATGGCTTGGGTCCGAAACTATGTGATCGCTTGACGGAGAAGCTCAAGGAGCACTGCGAGGAAAATGGCCTTCCCATGCCCGAGCACCCCCACAAATGTTGGTTCTATGCTTCTACGCTTCCACCGCCTTTTTGGATATTGTTTCGTTCTAAGATCGACGGCAGCTAGGAGTAAAAGGAAATCCGATGAGGGGGGGACAGCCGAGACCCAGCCTGCGAAGAAACCGCGGAAGACCAAGGCTAAGCCATATGTGCCAACGCTGCGGTCTGGTCCTTACGCGATCATCTTGGCTCTCTCGACCCTGGAAGAGAATGCGTCCCAGGGCATGACAAAATCACAGTTAATTGAGACAGCGCAGCCGCACTGCGAGAGTTCGTTCACAGCCCCGAGCGACTCGTCCAAATTCCATACGGCGTGGGCGTCAATGAAGACCCTCCTTCAGAAGGAGCTTGTCTACGATCACGGCCGCCCACTGAAGAGATACGCTCTCACGGAGGAAGGCTGGGAAGTGGCCAAACGAATCAAGGCGGCTGCGCCGTCAGACCCGAGCCAAAGAACGTTATCTTTCCGAGCCGAGTCTGTGAGTTTTTCTAGCATCTCGGAGCCTGCAGTTCTCCATTATCTGACAGATTTCCTGGTTAGACTCAGCCCGCTGCAAGCGTTACCATTCCTGATCGCGCACCCAGCAGTGCCGTACCACAGGCTGTACGGCAAGAGAGCATCAGCTACGAAACACCGCCTCAAGATCCCCAGCTCCCTCATGCAATTGATGCGGCGTTTGATGGAACGGTCACTCCGATTGTGATCCCACCGAACAGCTTCACAGTCCAGCTGGTTCTGGATGTTCGTGAAGTGCGGTCCTCCCGAGATAGGGACTACCTTGCCAACGAGCTCAGCAAGAAGGGCGTCACACCCGAGGTGCGCGCCCTCGAGCTCGGCGATGTCATGTGGGTGGCCAAGTTCCACGATCCCAGATTCCTGTCCCAGTACGGCGAGGAAGGCGACGAGATCATGCTGGACTGGATCGTGGAGCGCAAACGCCTGGACGACCTCATCGGCTCCATGAAAGACGGCCGCTTCCACGAACAGAAGTTCCGACTCCGCCGCTCCGGGATCAAGAACGTCATCTACCTCATCGAAGAATTCACCTTCAGCCAAGACCCCACCGTCACCTCGAAATACGACGAGATGGTCGCCTCCGCCATCGCGTCCACGCAGGTGGTGAACGGCTACTTCGTGAAGCGCACCAAGAACCTGGACGACTCCATCCGCTACCTGGCGCGAATGACCTGCCTGCTGCGCAAGATGTACGGTGCCGCGTCCCGCGAAGCACCACCGTCTCACGCCCTGGCGTTGATCCCCAGTCGGCAGCTGTCGTCCTCGGAGTCGTACCTCGAGACGCTCGAGCGGTTCCGCGCCGAGAAGCCGAGCACGACCTTCGCCGTGACCTTCTCGACGTTCTCGGCGTTGACCTCCAAATCCGACGTCTTGACGCTGCGCGATGTCTTCCTGAAGATGCTCATGTGCATCCGGGGCGTCACAGGCGAGAAGGCCTTGGAGATCCAGCGGCGGTGGCCGACCCCGCAGGCGTTTGTCCAGGCATTCGAGGCTTTGGGTGTGAAAGACCGAGAGAACTTGGTTTCGGATCAGATGCAGACACTCGTGACGCGGAAGAAGATCGCGAAGGTCTTGAGCAAGAAGATTGCCGAGGTTTGGGGTGAGGATGGATAGGCGTACAGATTGGTCGCTTGGTCGTTCATCAGTATTGGACTTGGACATATCGATATCGTGGCCGAATTGGGTTGGTGAAGCTGGAACGCTTGGTGCTATCAAGGTAATATTGAACTGACATAGGTTGTATTGCCGGTCTCAACGCAATAGACTTAGACAACAGATAGATACCGCAGCATGAAGAACCAGTACTTATATCACATGTCCGATCTCCACCTGATAAATAGCGAGTTCGCAAACATGCCGAGGCCTACATAAACCGTCTCGGGCGGATCACAACGAAGCTATACAGACACACACCCTCGTCGAATTTCCATAACTCCATTTATCGAGTCGATTCAAGTAACTATAACGGAGATCATCAATCATTGTCTCATACAATGCCAAACTCTGGCTCCAAAACAACCACCCTATGACTCCCGATCCCTTCTCCTCCTCCACCTCCACTCCCCCGCCAAGGCCAAACTACTACACACCACCGAGATACTACTCAACGCCATCGCCAACGACGCCCACACGGGACTCAGCCGCCAATGCGTCGCCACACTCCCGTGACCATTCACGGCCGCCTTATGCCCACTCACGATCGGATAAAACACCCCCGCCGCCACCGGCACCAGACAGCAGTTGTACACCAGTGCCCAGGCGAAATTCCACTTCACGCGGCGGAAGACCCGCCGGCTGAGGCGCACCAGCTGCAGGATGGCGTCGAGGTCGGCGTGCAGCAGGATAAAGCTGGCGGAGTTGATGGCGACGTCGGAGCCCGTGGCCAGAGCGATGCTGACGTCCGCGGCGGTCAGGGCGGGGGAGTCGTTGATGCCGTCGCCGACGAAGGCGACGATTTTCCGGCCGGCGGATTGGGGGGATGATGATGGCGATGGAGGTGGGCGCTGCTGGGCTTCGAGGTCCGTGTTCGGGTGGTTCTGGATGGAGCGGATGAAGGAGGACTTGCCGGCGGGGGTGACGTTGGCTTCGACGTTGGCGTCCGGGATGCCGAGTTGCGAGGCGACGGCGACGGCGGTGGTGCGGTTGTCGCCGGTGCACATGAAGACGGAGATTTGGCGGCGGTGCAGGGCGCGGATGATCCGGGCGGCGGAGGGGCGGATTGTGTCGGTGGTGGCGAGGAGGAGGGCTGGTGTGAAGGGTTTTTGGGTGGTGGAATGAGTGGGAGTGCCCGTGGTGAGGGGCCGGAGGAGGAGGATGGCGGTGGATTTGCCAGCGGATTGGTGCTTGGTGAGCCGGTTGGTGAGGTCGGTGAGGTTTGGGTCCGGGTCGGGGTCGTCGGGGTTGGTGTTGGTGTTGGTAAGAGCGTGCACGAGGCGTTGGTTGCCGATGGCGGCTTCGAATTGTCGTTGGCCACCACTAATGCTATTGCCACTGGTGTCTTTGGTGGTGGTGGTGGTGATGGTGAAGGTGCCCTTCATACCTTGGCCGGAGAGTTCCTCGATCTCATCGACGCGGCAGACTTGGGTGGATGGCTTCTCGTCGCGGCAGAAGTTCGAGATGGCCCGGGCGATGGGGTGGTTGCTGCTCTCTTCGAGCTTGCGGGTGACGGTCCAGGCGATGGATATCAGGTCTGGGTCGGTGATGAGCTCTTCATGATCAGAGACCTGCAGGCTGCCTCCTTCGGTGAGGGTCCCGGTCTTGTCGAACACGATGGCGTCGAGACGACTCGCTTCTTGGAAGGCTTCGCCGCCGCCTTTCACCAAGATCCCCTGGCGAGCAGCCAGGCCGCCGCCAACGAAGAGCGCGGTGGGCGCGGCGAGGGCGAGGCCGCAGGGACAGGCGACGACAAAGACCGCGATCGCAAACTCCAGGCTCCAGAACGTCCAACCGCCGCGGCTGACGTCGAGGTAGTCCTCGGGAAGCGTTCCAGATAGTCCCAGGGAGAGCCAGATGACGAAGGTCAGAATGGCGATGAGGGTGATAGTCGGGACAAAGTGAGAGGTCAGGAGGTCTGCCACTCTCTCGAGCGGTGCTCGTCTGCTCTGGCCTTCTCGTACTACCGAGATGATTTGATCCAACATGGAAGAACTTCCAAGAGCAGTGACCTTGACGTCAGCGGGCTGTCCCACATTGACAGAGCCCGTATACACAGGGTCGCCCGCTGACTTGTGCACGGGTTTCGATTCGCCGGTCAATGAACTTTCGTCGAACTGATAGGAGCCGGTTCCGACTACCACTCCGTCGGCTGGGGGCGAGGCTCCATGGGGGATGCTGACCACATCACCGATTTCCAGCATGTCGACACTGATCCGCTGGTAACCGCCGTCTTTGGGGCCGGCTCCTGTGTCTGCGCCTCCCTCAACACTTTCGGAGACCTTGAGCAAGGCCTCACTTGGTCGCAGCTTTCCGAGCGATGCAACTGCGTCACCCGTCTTGGCCTTGCTGTATGCCTCCATGAAGCGCCCAGCAAGGATGAACATGGTCAAGAAGACCACCGTATCGAAGTAGGTGGAGCTATGAGTGCTGGATGAAGACCCCATCGAGGCATCCATGATCAGCACAGCCAGGGAGGAGACATAAGCCACCATGGTTCCAGCGGAGATCAGAAGATTCATACTACCAAAGCGATAGAACCTCCGCAGGATCGGTACACGACTGCCCGGCCGCCAAAGCGAGTAGATCTCTTTCATCGCTCGCACGTGGAAGATGTCCGCCCCATAGAACATCACAGGTGTGGTCATGATGAAAAGTGCCCACTCGAGGCGCGACGCATCGCCCGCCCACATTGGCTCTTCAAGGTACTTGCGAGTGGGATTGTTCGACGACACCAAAGTCATGAATACGATCCCGAGTAAGAAAGTGGGGATAGCCACTGCCAAAACAAAGATGAACCGAGTGAGGAGGCGCCGTCTTTCGTACCGTTGCATCGCTCGAGACCGATCCTCCACACTCGGCGGGTGGTATACGGTGGCTGTGAATGACTCGTGCGATTTTCCAATGGTTTGCAGTATTGTTCTTATAGTGAGGGAGGGGGTTTTGGGCGTGTATGTCACGGTGAGAATGGGGTTATTGACGGAGAGCGCACCCTGCACCTTGACATTTGGCAGGTCTTCGACGGATTTGAAGATCTTCTCCGGGCAATGGTGACAGAACATGCCATCCACATGAACAGAAACCGTTCTTTCTTCCACGATCTCGCTCTCCTGAGATGAGCCCTTGGGGGAAACACTGTTGATCGAAGCATCGTACCCTAAGTCTTCGATCTTTTCCACGATAGCGTCAATATTGTTACGGTCCTGGAATTCGACTCTTCCGCTGTGGGTGAGGAGGTTGATGGAAACTTCTACCACGAAAGGCAGTTCTTCAAGCCCGCGAGTGACCGCGCCCGAGCAAGATCCGCACGTCATGCCGCTAATGGCAATCTCTGCGATGTAAGTCGGCGTAGGCCCCTTGCGTTTCGGAGAAACAGTCAGGCTCTGCACCTCATCGAGCGACGCTTCAAACCCGATATCCTCGATCTGCTCGACGATCTTTTCGGCATTTGCTCGCGGGCCACTAAAGACAATAGTCGCACTGTTCGTGAGTAGGTTGACGGTGATATCCTGAACAAAGTCGAGCTGCTTGACTTCGTTGGTGATGCTGTTTGCACACGAAGCACAGCTCATGCCGCCAATGCTCACGCGCGCATTGAATTTCTCTTCTGGTGACTGCGACGCCACGTTCTCTGCAGAACTCCCAGGCACTGACCGCTGGGACACGCGCCCGGCCACCTTGTCGTTCGACGGGTCAATGCTAGAATCCGCGCTGGACTGGTCGCGTAGATTGCCATCCGACAGATCGGCCTCAACGGCAAGCCTCTCGAGCTCCTCCTGCCGGCAGGCATCGCAGTTCTCGATGTGTCGATTGCCCGGGGCCAAGGTTGCAGCATGCGCACCACCGGGTGGCTGTTGACTGGCCCCGGCAAAGATCGAGTCGCGGGGCAGCCACGCGGTCGTGTCAAAGTCCGCGACGACGGAGCCCTTCGGTTCGTAGCTTGTAGCATGATGCACGTCGAAGGAGGCGTCAATCAGCGCTTTGGCCAAATCGGGCGGCTCCACGCCTGCGGTGTGCATGACGCGGACTTCGTGCGTGAGGACGGACACATCGACCTTGATCACGCCCGCAATGCCAGATAGGACTTCGTCGATGTAGGCGACGCAGGAGGCGCAGTGGATGTTGCTAACGAGGAATGTGCTTTTCAGTGACCGGGCGCTGAGTCCGGTCGGAGCGATGGCTCCGTTCCTCGTGGTGGGCTGCGACATGATTCATTCAACCACGAGGTGGCTGAAAAGGGATGGGATCTGAATAATGTTTGCCAGGAATGTTTGCGGCTGGTCAGGAGGGACAGTGAGTTAGTCAGTCAGTTCATTCGTAATTCTCCGTGGTTGTCCTTGGCTCCTGGCTTGAATTGGAGGGAGATCGTGGGTATGGGCGAAATTAAGTAAGGGGGGGGAAGAATTCTTGAAATTTACAAGGAGACGATGAAGAGCGACGTATGGTATAAGTAGCTGTGTTACTTAAAAGTGATATCATTTATAATCATGGTTGTGGAGCAAGAGGCAACCTTGCGCGTTTTGTGCGCAAAAGACTCTGAAGCTCTAAAGAGCGCACAAATCGCGCATTCCAGAACGAGGCCCGGAGATGATGGATGAGTAAGGAATACTTCGATGCTGCAAGGCTGATTTGACCCGACAAACAGGTCAATTAGTTAGATTGATACACCGGGCTCAGTGAGCTATGCATCATGAACAACAAGCAAAGCCTGATTCTACAATTTGCGTCATAGAGGTGGCGGCGTCGAGGCAATGAGGTTCCTTAGGGTGTTCCAGAGTGCGGAGGACTGAGTGGCAAAAAGCTTGAATGCATCGAGATCTGATTAGATTGTGCCTACTCGTTCATAGTACTTACTAGGCAGTCTATAACTACAGTCCACCGCAATTTATCCTACCATACTACTACCCATTATCTTTTTGCTCGATAATACGGTAGACTAGATCGTGATTCAATAGAACATTGAAATAAATCAGACTCGCCCGCAAACGGCAGAAGGTGGGTCGCTTCGACCAAGAAAGCCCCTTTACAAATCAGTGCTATTGTAGATTGTCATGCAGGCTGGAGAACAGAAAAGCCGAGACAGACATGGTTCCCAGGAAGCAATGGGAGGGGTAGAATGGAGAGAAAAGAAAGCCGAGAGAGACGATATATACGCTTGGTGGAAAATGCAAAAGAAGAAGAGAGCGGAAGGAGGATCGAACGGGAGTCATGGGAGAGTTTTCCAACTCTCTACGCGTGGACGCGACACGTGACCTTTCCGCTGGGCCACCGCGTCCTCCCAATTGCAATTTTCACCTCACTCTTTCTCCCCCCCCTCCGTCTCCCTTCATCTCCAACCAAAAACCACTTATCGCGACTTTCACCACTTTACAACGCGTGTCCGACACGTCTTATCTTTTTCGCGATCTTACAGAGATATTCAACCAACATCACTCTTCTTCCCTGGCTGTTCGCATCAGCGTAACACAGTCATCGGTGCAGCTGCACGATCTGCGCGGAGCTACCCCGCACCTCCCCTTTCATTGTCATCCCCTATTATCCATTTTTCCCAAGCTCTCTCTCTCGACTACCTACTCTTTCATACTCCATACTCTCCATATTCCCTGAACTCCGGCTTTGGTTCGGAACTCCCGCCGATCATATCAACCATCTATCTACGCCAATTCAAGCATATGGCGTAACATCTAGCGCAGTTATCGACCTCGTTTCAAGCCCCTTGTCCCTTCTTCGCGGGGCAATCCCCCTCACGCTTAGTTCATCATGTCCGTCCCAAGACCCGGAATGCGGCCTATGCCGCCCAGAACTGGCCCCAGGGCGCCCCCCATGGGACGTCTGGCCAGTCTCAAGCCAACAGGCTCAACCCCCATCAGGCGGCCACAGCCGATCTCCCGGCCTCAACCGGTCAGGCCGACTACCCATCCCAAGACGACTACCTGTCCTAACCCAGGCTGTCCGGCCCCTCATATCGTCGAGGATGACGGCCAGAAGGTCTGTTCCGGGTGTGGTACTGTCATTAGTGAAGCAAACATTGTCTCCGAAGTCACCTTCGGTGAAACGTCCTCCGGTGCTGCCGTCGTTCAGGGAACATTTGTCGGTGAAGACCAGTCGCATGTTCGCAGCACGGGCCCTGGCCGGTTCCATGGAGGCACAGAGAGCCGGGAGCTCACTGAAGCCAACGGTAATCGGTACATCACGCAGCTGTCTCGCGCCTTGATGATCCCAGAGAGTGCCTCAAAGGCAGCCACTCAGGTGTTCAAGCTGGCCGTCGGCCTGAATTTCATTCAAGGTCGCAGAACCAAGACTGTTGCCGCGGTCAGCTTGTACATCGCCTGCCGTCGACAGGACGGCAACACGGTCATGCTCATTGATTTTGCTGATGTGCTCATGCTGAACGTCTTCAAGTTAGGTCGGACGTACAAGGCCTTGTTGGAGGAGCTACGCCTCGGAGGCACCATCTTCCTCATGAACCCCATTGATCCCGAGAGTCTGATTTATAGATTCGCCAAACAACTTGAATTCGGACCTAGCACAATGCAGGTCGCTAGCGAAGCTGTGCGCATTGTGCAGCGCATGAACCGCGACTGGATGACTACAGGTCGTCGTCCTGCTGGTATCTGTGGTGCAGCGCTGATTCTTGCTGCCCGCATGAACAACTTTCGCCGCACGGTCCGGGAAGTTGTCTACGTGGTGAAAGTCACCGAGATCACGATCAGTCAACGACTCAACGAATTTAGCTCGACCGAGAGTGGTGAGCTAACCGTCGATCAATTCCGCTCGGTCCAACTGGAAAACGCACACGACCCGCCCTCATTTACTCGATCCAGAGAGGGTCGGAAACCATCGCGGTCCTTCAAGAGAAAACCTGCCGAGACTGCGGCTGAAATCGAGGGCGACGTACCTGAGGCGCAACAGCCTAGACGGGTTGACTCCGATGGCTTCGCGATCCCCAACCTTCCCATTGACCCGGCGTTGATGGCAACCGATCTCAGCCAAAGACGGCAGTCGACTGCCTCCGTCACCAGCGATGCGACGTCCGAATTCGGAGAAGACGCCCCGGCAGGTCGCCCTAAGGGGAAAAGACCTCAACTCCCCCTTCCATCGGCCGAACAGGTTGCGTCTGAAGAGGCGCTTGAGAATGAAATGGCCTCCTATTTGACACAGGGCTCGAATATGGTCGAAAGCACTGTCATTCTGCCCAAGCCACCAGTGTCGGACAGCACAGAAATTGATGCTGCCGAGTTTGAATCAGACCCAGAAGTGGCCCATTGCTTGCTGACTCCCGCCGAAGTCGAAATCAAGGAGCGAATTTGGGTGCATGAGAACAAAGATTACCTACGAGCACAGCAGGCCAAAGCCTTGAAACGCGCCCTAGCAGAAGCTGAAAACCAGCCTGGCGCCGACGGCCGAGTCAACAAGCCCCGGAAACGCCGCAAGGGAAGATTGGGAGATGTCACGTATCTCGAAGGGGAAGGAGAAGATGGCGATGGACGAAGTACTCGTGCCTCCACCCCTGCTGAAGCGACTCGGCGAATGTTGGAACGCAGAGGGTTCAGTAAAAAGATCAACTACCGACTTCTGGATTCTCTTTTCGACGATGGAGGCGCCGACGAATCTTCGAAAGCGAAGGCCGAGAGTCTCAGTCGAAGCCGAAGTCGTAGTCAGAGTGTGTTTTCGAGGCGCAGCGCTAGTATCGAACCTGAAGCGGTCACTCGGCGAGCTGGACTTGCAGCCGCTTCGACAGCATCGCCTTCTGTGCCTGCGGTGTCGTCCACGGTGCCACCTGCAGTGCTTGAACCCGCACAGCAAGCGACTCAGCCCGGCCCCTCAACCACCACAACAGAGAAACCGGCTGCGAACGAGGAAGCCCTGGGCCCTGCTGCCGGTGAGAAAAGTGGTTATTCAGACGACGAACAGGAGGAAGACGACTATGACGACGACGAGGACGCGGAGGACGGTGTTGAGGCGGCTTTTGCAGGACACTACGGAGACTACTACGATGAAGGAAGTGATTACTATGATAGTGACTGAGTTTAGAGTCAGGAGCAGATCATCTTGGAAACCGATAAGATATCCAGGGCATGTATATATAGCTAAAACAGAGCTTCCACTAGCTGGCAACGAACTAATAACTACCATTCCAGGTTTGATCAATCTATCCATAAAAAGTAAGAACCGATTCCAAGCCTAAGCTGAGCGGAAGAACTCAACGGATTGAATGAATTTCACAGCCCCTACTTTGGCCTAATCTGGACTGAGCTGAGGATTTGACCACCTTCCTGTTGTGTGGATATCACGTGAGACCGGAAAGTCTTGACAACAATCGCCTCGATCTTTCGTCTGTCTTGCTTGAGTCTGGCCAGTTCTTGGAATCAGCCTTAGAACTCTGAGGCTTGCAGCATACATGGGCGCAGCCTAAGCCTGGACGCCTCAAACGATAAGAGAGCAGCTCCTCGCCCATGGCCGTCATCAAAGCGCCCAAGAACTACAACGCTGGCTTCTCGGCAATGAGAGGAGGCTTCTTCAGGCAGAGGGACTCCCCAGGACCTTCTAAGCTCTGGTCAATACCAAGGCAAGGGGTATTTGACCTTGTTGGACTCTGAAAGATGCTGCCAAGGTTCACATTTAGGCAGCTGCTCCATGGAAACCCCTGCTAGAGCCGCTCAACACTTTCCCACTCGAAAGATTTACACTTCAAGTACAACGTCAATTCTGAATCGGATGACCACGATACCTTGCTAGTGATCTTTGGTTACACCCTCGCCTCCTTGAAACCGCGACTCCATGTCCAGATATAGCGTCGTTCCCAGTCGGAAGTCAACCTTCCGTGAGCCATGAGGAATGTGTGAGGCAGGGTTTCTCCCCGATACAGAATGCACGAGACAGCCGGATAGAATTACTGGATGTTACCATAATCGTCGTCTGACTCCGGGATCCTCGCACTATGGCTCCTGCCCACCGTACTTTTGTGGTAACTCCGGTATAGAGCCGAACCCTTTGGTATGGAGGGTCGTCGCTTGGTCTCTAAGAGGTTAGTATGGCTTCAGCTACCGGTCCCAGATCAGCTACTTGCTCCAGAGAAGTCGGCCAGCAAGTCGTCATGCTACGTTGGCTCTCGTGCACCAAGTCCATGTGTCCCGGATCCACAGCCAGCCCACTCCGCGTTGAGCCCCCTTACCATCGTCGTCAATGGCAATCCAGTCCTTCAGGACTACATACGTATAAATACTGCCTGAGATATTGACGGTTGTGCCGATTATCTGCGCTTGCTCAAGCTTGCCCGGTTCCTATTCTTCTGACTGGGATAATGGCGAAGCTCAACATCTATGGCCGAGGCTTCGGCCTTCGCATGGCTATCTTGTTCACTTGCCAGTTAGCGTTTGTTCTTTTCGGTAGGTTGCTTCGAACTGGTCTCAAAAAGTGCGGTGCGGCTGACTTGGTTCTTGGTGTTTTACAGGTTACAATCAGGGGATATACTCGGGGATTGTGTCAAATGAGGATTTCCTTGCCATGGTGGACAACCCTGGCTCGGGCATGGTGGGATTCATAGTGGCCATATACAACCTGGGATGTCTGGTTGGAACGGTGATCTCCTTCCTACGGAGTGATAAGCTTGGGTTTCGAAGGTCGATGTGGTTCTCGATGGCTGTGATTATGGTGTGTAAGTGTCTATATGTCAGTGACGAGGACTAGGCTAACACGGACGAATTCCTTGTCGTGCAGATTGGAGGCACAGCCCAAACCTGTTCCTTTTCTAGGACTCAGATACTCGTGACCCGCTTCTTCACGGGCATTGGAACCGGTGTGATGACAGCAGCCGTGCCGGTGTATCAGTCGGAATTATGTGATGCACGGAAACGAGGAATGTATGTCTGCAGCCAGCCTCTTGCAGTCAGTGTTGGCATTTGCGTGGCCTACTGGTTCGACTACGGGTTGAGCTATGTCGATGGCTCTATCAGCTGGAGACTCCCGATTGCTTGCCAACTTCTCCTCGCAGCTGGTGTTTCTGTTCTTATCCTTGGGTGAGCTCCCACTTCGTTAGACGTAGTTGGTGAAGACAGTGCATCTGACGATAGCTAGACTCCCTGAGAGTCCCCGATGGCTGTATCGCCATAAAAATGAGGACGCCGCATTGCATGTGCTCTGCGACTTCTACGACCGGCAAGCGGATGACCCAAAAGTCATCCAGGAAGCAGAAGGAATTCGCCGAGCCATCGAAGCTGACAACGCTCGAGGGGAGTACAAATGGTCTCAGATCTTCAAGAAGGATGAGCTTCACACCGGTCGACGAGTCTTGCTGGCCTATGGGCTGCAATTCATCAACCAGATGGGTGGTGTTAACGTGATAGTCGTAAGTTGAGACAGCTCGAAACAACCACCATCACTACTGACATCTTGCTAGACCTATTCGACAATCGGTAGAAGCCCAACATTCATCACCCACCCGCGCGATGGCTACTGACACTTTGCCACCTTAGTTCTCCAATATAACGTGGGCCTCGATGCCAAGCTCAGTCTATTATTGGGTGGAGTGATCGAACTCATGTTTGTCATAGGTATGTTCTCTCCTTTGAGACCATGATTGGATCATCGGGACGACGACCGTTAACCGCCTGCACCCCAGGCTCCTTTTATCCCACCTTCTACGCCGATCGCCTGGGACGTCGTGGCCCAATGATGTGGGGATCGTTTGGCCAGTTCCTGTGCATGCTCCTGATCTCCATTCTTCTATCGTTCAAAGGTAAAAAAACAAAAAGTCCCAGCCTCTTCCGTTGTGGATTGCCAAATCAGGCAAATGGTCGAACTATCAGGGATCCTAAATTCCGTCTTCCCAGGAACCGATCTCGAAAGAGCAACGGCCACGGCGTCAGTGCCATTCTTCTTCCTCTTCATGCTCATCTTCGGAGCCTCCATCAACTGCATACCGTGGGTGTATGGACCGGAGATCCTTCCCCTGCATGTCCGCAACAAAGGGTACGAAATGCTCCCGCCCCCAACCCCAATGAAACTGTACCCACCACATTCCAGCCGGTGGCTCCCCTGCCAACTCAACTCCATCACAGGAGAAAAGCTGGGAGAACGATAACGAGAGCTATTTTTAATCCGCGGTTCTAGGTCCGCCATCGGTATCTCGGCAAATTGGCTTTGGAATTTCTTCGTCGCCATGATCGCGCCCGTCCTCATCAAGGATCTGGAATGGAAGGGGTATCTTATCTTCATGTGTTTCAACTTGCTGTTTGTGCCGGTGAGTTGGTTGATCTTCCCCTATGTTTCTGTGTGTCCAGTCTAATGCGGGAGGGGCTGGGCCAGATCATCTATTTCTACTACCCTGAGACGGCGAACATGAGTCTCGAAAACATCGACCAACTCTTCATGGATAAGAAGCCGTACCAACCGGAAGGATCGAGTGAGACTACTAAAGGATCGGTGACTTGCACGGAGGTCACGGAGATCAAGCCTGCGAGTTAAGTGGTGTTGAGGTAAGGTTCTCGAGGAGTCAATTGGATGTGAAAGGGCCTCTGTGTGGTGAGTAGAGACACGGTGAGGCGGTAGGGGGATAGTTGGTTGAAGAAGGGGGGTAGATGTGAGATGTGAGACGATAGGATGTGCGTTGTTGGTGTGAAGGGTCAGAGTTGGTTTGTCGTAGTTCAAGACAGTATTTAGCAAATAGTTTATATCCTGTAGAGCCAAGTACTAGACAAGTTAATAGTTCCACCACGGTATACACCGGAATGACAGTTGTGAGGATGAAAGCATTGAGACATGTACTTGGATGTGTTGTTTGATTTTATGGTAGGCTTCCCTCTACTTATCCTCAGTCGCTGGCTTCCTCAGTATCAGTCGCGTGATATAATAGGTAGAGGTAGTCTCTCCTCGCTACAACCTCTCAACTCCTTTGCCACCTAAAGAGCCTGAACGAAACGCAGAAAGCAGTGAAGGAAGTCGATATATAGGCTCCCCTTCCTTTTACGATCTATAAGCCATACTCCGAAGCCCCGTCCTAATATTCTCCTGCAGTGCATGCATGACGCTGACCCAGCCTGCCCATCCATTCCGAAAACCCACCTATCAGTTTTCTCTCCTAGAGTGTAGCTATTATTCTCGTCTCACAATCGAATACATCCCCTTCTCGCTTCTCGAAGAAAGAGCAAACGCATGTCCTGATTATATGGATCTAGACTTGCCTACCTTGGGATTCTCAGTCCAAGTACTCCGTACATCCACAGCATCGCCCAAAATCCCCCTCCCCTTCTGCCGGCAAGTCAAGACACCGAGCAAGATCAACAACGACAATCGACCATGCTGCGGTCTGGTAAGTTGTACAGCACAGCACAGTACAGTTACTGTCGATGCACGCATTAAAGCTGAGCTGAGCTATACAGATGCATGAACGGATAGTCACACCCCCCCAACCCGTCCCCGCCCCTTCTCCCTCCAGCTCAGCTTCATGTTCGATCGATGGCCTTGAGTGCTGTCCTGTCCTGTCCTGTACTGTACTGTGCAGTATCGGGATAGATAACTTATAAGTTAGTAGGTACAGTAAATTAGGTAGGCATAGGCATAGACATAGACATGGGAAGAAGCTCAGAGCCCAGCCCAGCCCTAACTAACCCGCTCCCCGTCCCCTTCGCCGCTGCCGCTGCCGCTGCCGCTGCCGCTACTACTACTACTAGGGTTGCAGGGCGCAGGGATAGCTATATGATATTGTAGTGATGGCAAGTGGCGTCGATTGCAGATCCTCGAGCTCCAACTCACTCATTATCTAACGTATAGGATAATGCGTTCGCTACAGCGCCTGAGAGAGAGAGTAGGTGATGAGTGTTGATTTACGGGGCGGTTGATTGCGGGGGAGGGAGGGAGGGAGGGTACAACACTCCGCACATACGGTGAGTACATGGCAGTAAGTATCTTGGTTCTTGGGGCGTGCTTGAACTTCATGGGCTAGAAGACCAGCGTTGATACTGACTGTTATCTATAGGCAGACCAGCCTTAACGGAAAGAAAAAGGAACAGGTCGAGCAGGGCCAACTGCTGCTGCTGGTTCTTGTTCAGCATGACATGACATGACATCCATGGGAGAAGGATGCTCGGTCGGACCTGACAGCAGATGCCATCTCGATTACGGTCATTATCATATATCTTCCTTTATGAACGGGTTGACTGAAGCGAGAGAACGAATTGGCAGTACTGCGAGATCTACAACACCCTGGGGAAATCGTAGGGCGGAGAACGGACTGACCGCTCTTTCGATCTCGCCGCGACCCAACCATTCCAACCATTCCAACCCAACCAACTTCCCCTCTTTCACTTTCTACACACCTTGACACTCGGCTCACCTTCGTCATTTCTTTATCTTTTCATATTTTCTTTCTGCTTTTTTCTTATATCAAAAAAAAAAAATGTTAAGATCATGTCGGATGTCACATCAAAGACATGTCAAGGAAATATCAACAAACGAGAAGGAAACGAAAAGAAACCAAAAGCAAATATGAAAAATACAGAGTCGAAATGCCCATGACGGTCTCCCAGTCCATGAGACCAGCCTTATCCCACCATGTCCCATACCGTCCAGTCCCCATACGCCGATTTCCAAGAAGAGAGAGAAAGAAAAAAGGAAAAGATTTCACAAACATATATCAATGAGATACGGACGGGCGTGATCGAAGAGAGGAATATGAAGTGCTGCCCGAAAACATGAGAATTAGGTTAGTCCGTCGGTGGTGCTTTTGCGTTCGCCTATTATCGAGGTCGTTGAATCGGTCTTTTGTCGGTTTGTACGCAAACTTTTGAAGATGTTGTCGTGGTTGCTGACCGGATGCTGCGCTGGCTTTACGTGTCAATCTCCATCCCCGTCCCCATTCCTACGCTGTTGTTCAATCCAGCACCAAGGCCGGTCTCAACCATGGTGGGCTGGGCACAGAGGGTTTGCAAGAGAGGTAGACCAGGCTCCTGCTGAGTAGCCCCAAGAAGGTTCTGCGGGGCCGCGGAGGGAAGGCTCTGAGCAGGCCTGTCGGAGGCGCTGAGAATCTGGGTTCCTTCGAAAACAATAGGGGTGGACCGCAGATTTTGGAGGCAGAGGTCCCAGTTAGAGCCCACCAATTGAGCCTGAGTGAGGTCATCGCTGAAGAGGAAGAAGGCAGGCACGAATGCAGGACCCATGGGCGTGACAGGACGTGCGGTCACGAGATAAGCGTTCAATGCTCGGTTCTTCATGAGGATCTCGGAATCCATGAGATAGGCGGAAAACTGACGGTCGATGTACTTCTTCCAACCGCGCACTGCCGCCGCCATGTCTGAGTCTTCAGTCACGATCCGCTGCCAACTGATCCCCAACATGCGGGTAGCGTCATCGACTGTGGGCTCCTCTGGAGAAAGGCGCGAGCTTGCGGGAAGAATGCGACGATTGTCATCGGTGTTGCTGGTATCGTTGAGCCGGCTTTGGATGGAGGAAAGGGTGATGTCGTCCACAGTCGGGGCGGAAGGATCGAGGCGCTGAGACTTGCGACTGAGAGGATCAGCTGCGCCGGATTGGAGCATCTGAGATCGAGAGGACAGCGGAGCAGAATTGTTGACAGTTTTCTCCGCAGTCTCCTCGTACCAAGTGCCGGTTTGACTTTCGGCAGAGATAGCCATCTTGGTACGAGGATTCAGCAGAACCATACCCGGGCCGTAAATGGGTTGTTCTGCTTCCTGCTTCGCGGGGGTTGGAGCTGGTACAACAGGTCCGCCAGAGCTTGGGACCTCATCGTCATACCCGACATCATCTCGCGACCTCTTGCGGGAGGGTCTGGCAGTGAAGGTATTGGATGATGCTGCAAACGCACGGGTGCCATTCGCGAAAAATGGCCCTCGGTGTGCATCAGCGCCAGGATTGAAGCGGGATTGATGAGGATATTGAATAAAAGCGTGTTCCTGGGGAGGGGACAGGACCATGGCCGGGCCGTCGGAGAGGCTGTTGAGCATCATGGGACACATGACGAGCAGGGAATCGCCGCGGAACGCAGGAAACTACGAAAATAGCTGGAAGACGGAATCTGTTCTGTCTAGTGAGCGGGACACAATAAGCTAGAACCACCTGTTTGAGCGCAAAGATCCGAGCTGTGAAGGGATCTAGCCCTAAGTGAAGGAGGTAAGATCGAATAGGTAGGCCACGAGGAGATGATGTAAGGAAGAGACAGGATGAGAAGTGAATTGAAGGATTCAAGCAGAGTGAAGCGAGATTGAAAGGGTGTGGGTGAATGTAGTAGATGATGTGATGAGGAAAGAAAAGGAAGAAGAGAGGGATGGAGGAAGGAGGAGAAAGAGAAGAGGAAGAGAAGAGGAAGAGAAGACGGGAAGAGAAAGAGGGAGAAGGTAGGGTTATGCGAGACGGAGACAGGCAGCCAACAAGAGACGGAAGAATCACGGGGTAGAGGAGGAGGAGAAGGAAGAAGATGAATGGATGAGTGGATGAGTGGATGAATGGGTTAAGCGACGCGTGAGAGACTCAAGAAAGAGAGAAGAGAGAGGGAGAGCTGAGAGGAATTGGCAGTGCACGGGAGGAAGAAAGATGAGTGCTGCAAGTCAGTGGTGAGTGCAGTGAGTGAGTGAGTGCTGACTGCTGACGGATGCGGAACCAGCGATTGCGATGCGGAGAGATTCCACGAAGAGCAGGATTTGCCTTGTCTCAGTTACTGCGTTACTGCACAGTACTTCACAATACTGTAACATGGGGGGGTGGTCTGCTGGGATAAGCGCTGGTCGGATCCGCGTGTGACGGTACGGTACACGGTACGGTACAGCGACAGAGTCTGGGCTGAGGCTAGGAGGCCTGACCTAGGGATCCACCCACCCTCGGATCAAGCAGCACAGCAGCAGTAAGGACGGAGCCATTATTGGTCAATGGACAATTGCCTGGGGCAACCCATCCATGCAACTGAATTGAACTTGGGAGTGGAGATTCGAAAGTGTTGGCTCTCCGTGATTGGATGACAGCGGCTACTCCAAGAAAAGGCCAGTCCGCGCGTCGCAGCCCTGATCTGAGGTCCAAGGGCTTGCCCGGGCCAACGCCACCGCCTACCATTTTTGGCTTGTGCCCTGAAAGGACGTGATTGGTCTACGGCCAAGTGCGGACAATCCACCTGCACCGAGACACTCCCCCGGCTCGGAGAAATTCTCCCCGCCGATCACTATCACCATCATCATGACAATCTGCTCAACACGAAAAATGGAACCTCTATTTGGCTTGTATAACAGGGTGATGCTTCATCATGTAGTAAAATATTGGGGGTGTCAAAAAGAAAAAGAAGAAAGGTGAAAAAAAAGGTATAGTCACAAGAAGGTGGTGTCAAACACAACATAGATATCGAAGGGGAATATGAAGCACAAGAGGGAAATGACCAGACAGATAAGCATCCAACTCCAGTCCCTCCTGCGAATTAGGCATTTCGCAAACATTTGTTCATCATCGCAGCCCACGAAACAATACACCAAGCAAATTCCCTCTAAGATTTGAAACACCGGGATTCAGAAAAATGTAAAATAAAAAAAAAAAGGGAGGAAGACCGAAGAAATAGCTCATAGGCACCGGAAGATGAGCGCTTCCGAGCCCTGAGCTTGACTAGGCACAAGCTACATTCCCCGCATGTGGCCGGCCCAGACAACCCCATCACCCTCCGGCATTTCCATCCCAAACGGGCACATTATCTTAGGCCAATCGAAGCCATGCATATCCAAACATGATTTTTTTTCGAACAAACGGATGATACCGGGAAAATCTTGGCCTCCGTGTCATCGTCCCACAATCAGTCCGTGAACACCACAACGCAGATTGAATAACGGACTCAGCGACCTCAAGCGATACCACTATCATAGGGGCAGGCGAGAAACTGCGCGCGAGCCCCTCTAAGCATTGCCAGCAGTGGCTCCACCGAGCATTCCCTTCACACTGGCGACCTGCTCGGGAGCATAGCTGGGAGCCATGGATCCCATGAGCAGGAAGAAGATCAGGAGACCGGCACCAATGATGATGAACTTGCGCTGGGCGGGGTGAGTGACACCATACTCGGCCCAGGCGCGGTTGGCCTGACCAGCATACTCCTTGATCTTGTCGCCGCCAAGCTTGTAGTAGACGAGACCGACGAGGGCGATGGAGTAACCGAAGAACTGGAGGCCAGTGACGGGAGTCTGCCAGATCATCATGGAAGCGACGACGAGGAGGATATCCTTGAGGACACCGCAAAGCGTCATAACAAGCGAAGAGGTCTTGCCAATCTGTAGGCGGGCGTTAGTAGCTAGACCAGATCGATAAAAGGACCATCGCGACTTACCAGGAAGACAACGGAAACGTTAAGGAGGAAAGCAACGACAGCATTGGCCAGCAGGGTCCACACACCAACGTTGTAGACGTGGGCCATGGTCAGGTTGGGAACTTCAAGGAACAAAGCGGTGACACCATTCATGACAGCACACACAGGAGCGAAGTAGTAGAGAGACACGAGAGGATCCATCTTGTACTCGGCAGAGCTGAGCAGGCGCTGGACCATGACCAGACGAGTAGCCTCGAAGATGATGCCGCCAATCTGGAACAGGAAACCAATCATGACGAACTTGATCTCACCGAAAGAGGCAATGACGACACCAACGACAATGATGCTCACGTTCATGAGCACCTTGTAGTTCACAGGAGCCATGCCCATACCCCAGGTAGCGAACAGAACAGCAACAGGTGTAGTGGCCTGGAACTTTCAATCAGCAATCCGATCAACCGAAGATGAAGTATAATCAACGAACCTTGAGCATCTGGATGAAAGCAACACTCAGGTACAAGTATGTCACGTTACCGCAAATCAAGCTCAGACTGAAGAACAAGCCGATGGGAACGATAGCGCGGAGATAGACGCGACCAGTCATCTTGACCGTCTTGCGGCCGTCGAGCAGAGTGGTGGTGCGAGCAAGGAGTTGGGTCATGAAGGTCGCAAAAGCCAAGTGCCATGTCGTAAGGATGATAGGGAAACCTATGATGGCGCAAGTCCAGAGATTAGTCGGAGAAGTGCAGTGGGGAAAAATCAAGGTAAACTCACGGAATTGAGCATAGTCAAGGATATGCTTGTTGAACAAGATGACACTGGAACTCAAGGCGATCCAGACGCTGATTGTTCATGAGTACCACTGCGTAGCAACAGCTTGGAGTAGTTCTTGAGCAACCTACCTGACATAGACAGCCGGGTGGAAGGCAGGCTTGGGAGGCTCCGACTTATCAACGGCAGGGTTGACAGTGGGCAGAGTAGGCTCCGGACGAGAGACCTCACCGGAGGTTCTGACCTTTTCACCTTCGGAGCTCATGGTGAAGATTGGAGTCTGGTCGGATAAGAAGCGTTGGAAGTCGAATGGGCGCGGCCGTAAAAGGCTGCTTTGTCCAAATTTCGCAGATGCCAGGAGTGATAATTAAAACAAGGGAAAAGGAAAAAGAGGTGAGCGAGGGCAGCAAGGAGAGGGTCTGCGATCAAGATGATTGTTAACGAATGAGATTGGAGTTGGTCCGAATAGCGATAAGGAGAAAGAAAAAAGAACTGAAAGGCAAGGGGAAGGACGATAGAGGTGTGAAACTCAATGTCTGAGGATGGAGGGAAGAAAAGAAGAAGAGCGTGGAGGAAGAGGGGAGAGGAGGCAGGGAAGGGGAGGAGGGGGGGTAGTGGACGAGAGAGGAAGAGGGCTGATCAAACCGATCGGATGGATTGGGGTACGTATGTGTCTGGCTTGTCCGTCGAATAATAAGGATGATATGGGATGGGTGGTTCGGAACTGGTTCGGGATGGGGGAAGATTCAGGGAGAGGAGGGGGGTGGGCAACACCTACGGCTTGTTTCTTGTTGGTTCGCTCCCAAGATAAGTGTGAAGCTGTGAACACGGCACGGAGAATTGAATCTTAGCAGGGGCGAAAGAGTAGAGCAGAAGAGAAGAAGAATAGACAAGGAAGAAGAGAGCACGGAGACTGAGAGCAGAGAGGGCTGGTTAGCTGGGGATTCCGCCTCCACTAAATTGTTGTTCGGTGAAGTGAAGTTGGAGAGCAGAGAGGGAACGGATGGAAAAGGGAAAGGGAAGGATGGGAAGGATGGGGCGGACCAGTACCTTGTCGGGGCTCCAGTGAGGGAGGGAACTGGAAGTCAAGCTTCCCATCCAGTTCCATCCACTGCCCGGCACCCACTCTTCCCTTCCCAAGTTTAGCGGCCGGCCCTGCAGTCTCCGTTCCTCGTCGCTGCAAGCATCCTGCCGGAACTGCAACTGTTCCTGATTTACTACCTATAAGTCACCGCCTATACTACCATGCAGTCTCAATAACTACATCTGTCTCTAACTAACTATCGGCGATGTTCCTCTTAATGGAACCTATTAATTACATTGAAATGTTACCATCATCATCCTAATCCCGGGTGGATAAAGAAGCGCGCGCACACACACACACACACACACACATAAAGCCTTGATCGAATCAGAAACCTGGACAATATAATCAAGTTAATCAAATATTAAATGAATAATGACCGACCCTGGCGGCTGGTGGTGGTCGGCCTTTTTTTTTCTGATAGACTGGTACCCTAATGTAAGCCACCAGGATTTATTATTAGATCTCCAGTCCCAGGCTCTCAATCTATCACGGTCTATCACTTGTTTCCCATGACTACCTCATTCACCTCACTGGTTCTGACGGGCGATTTCGAGTTCTGGCCTGAATTGAAGAAGAACAATTGAGGGGCCAAAAGAGAGAAAGTGGAGTGTGGATGGACTGGGTCCAACTCACTGCACTGGGAAAGGATCAATACCCGAGGAGGAAAGGTGGCGTGTACTAAATAATACCATTACTGTTTTTTACATCGTTACTCCTATATTTCCCAATCCTAGCTCAGTGTTGGATACGTATCAATACCCGTATGGTAGAGACAGGTATTGCATATCTTCTCTCCTCCGCAGTCTGAGGGTCTCGATCTTTTGGAGTGCATCTCCATCGATTCTACATTTCTTCGACAGAACCATTTCTAGCACATCCAAAGTATTGCGGCCTTCGGCAAATGTTCCTTACCTTTCTACCATCAGTCTCTACCATGTCCAAGAGTACGAAAATTAACGGGGTCTCGATTGACTGTCCAACCACCCCAGTGGGCAGGCGATCCATGAAACTGCTGTGGGGCGAGGCGATTGTTCATCTCTCGTGGCGATAGCTGGCGGCGAGGACCACTGGTGGTTGGTGTCAATCTCCAGGTCCCCACACTCCATCAGTAGCCCCTTTTCCATTCGCCTTCTCTTCAGGTCTGAGAAAGCGATTCGAATTCCAATGTTCAGGACAGTCAGCCATGAGCCATCCGATACGAGATGGAGAAGTGGCTGCGACAAAGTTTTCTTCCCTTTCTGGGGCGCGCTTACTTTCGATCTGACTTGCGTCGTGCCTTGAGTGAGGGTGTGCGATGGGCCACCGATGCTCGTCACGACGGCTACAGGGCAAAAGACGTTGCCCTCCCTGAAACAATACAGGGTAGGTAGGGTTGTGTCAGATAGAGGCTGTAGGAGGATCCAATCGAAGCAAGAACATCAACCGAGTGCTGATCAAAATTTATGGCTTCTGGTTTGGCACCGGCCGCATTACGCAAGCAGCCCACTAGCCAAGCACTGTCTGACCCGCGTTCAGCGGCCACTTGTCCATAGCGCTGCCGCGAAGGTCCCTTGCCGGTGGAGAATGCGGCGATCGGATGGCTGAGGGCCTGACGACATCGTCATGGTTCAATGGCGTGGGTTGGAGACGAGAGCCACCGGCGACTTGGCTCCCTCACCCACGAGGGTCCTATTGTGTACTACTTATTATAGCAAGACCGGACAGCAACTGCTGCAGTTCTGACTACAATGACTGTCACTAGCTTTGCTATGCCTACGGGCTGTGAGACGTGCACACGGAAAGTTCGTTCATGTGCCGTTCCGCCCCAAAGCCACGATCCTGTCGCGGCTCTTCTGGCGACAACGGGCGGAGAGAAGAGCGCCCCGGCGTACGTCAGACAGACAACGAGATCAACGCCAAACAGGCGAGTTGTACCCGCGGGAGGGGCCAAAATGAAGCTTTTCTCTAGTGCATTGATCCCTGGGGCCCTGGGTGGATGAGAACTCCGTTGGCTTCCCTGGGGTCCGCGACAGGTTCTCGAAATTTTGAGATGTGTATCCATTGTACGGCGTATACTGTATAGGAGTGATGACCGTTAACCTTCAGTTTCTGGTAGAAGATCCCCATGGTCCTTCCTTTCTCAGCAGGCTCCATCAGTGGACCCTGCCAGATTTGCCGGTCTCTGGTTCAGCTAACGTGTCGAGCCTGAAGGGACCGAATAGGGGATGATCCCATTGCCGATGTCTATCGATGACATCCGTGTTCCTCTCTCGGCTCTACCTAAAGTACCGTCCGTACTGGACGTCGTGGACTAGCCCTGAGTAGTGATGGACCGCAGGTAGTACCCGACGGGCCCTCTTGTCACTCATGCATGGTTGTCCCATACATCAGGGGCTTAGGGGAGGGGATACAGATCACTACTCTTCGGGGTAGTTGCATGCTGATCGGATGCTCATCGCTGGTAAGCAACCGTGCTTTTGGTGACCTCCGTGGAGGGTCTCTCCAGCAGGACAGATCGGAAAGGATGTGATGAAGGGCCGATATCCGTCACATTCTTTATACTCGGTACATACATAGTGTGCATGTGCTACGAGTCAGGAACATGTATCAGAGCGTCAACCTCGACAGGCAATGATGGTGACCTAAACGTGGTCTGTGATTTGTCCGGGAAGCACATCACTCTTGACCGGGGAGATTCTTAGATGGTCTACGGAGTAGTAAGATGATATAGACTAAGTGATCCAGTCGAATTTCGTCCGATTCTGAAACCCAGATGCGTATATCGTAGTTACTGGGTAGTTATGTCAACTTGTTTTATCTCGGGAATGAAGATTACCGGGCCATGGGGCACGCCTTCAGTGGGATCGATGTCATTAGTAGATTAGAGAATTTGCATGGTAGGGATTAATATCGACGGATGAAGTCGGGGCCTGCCGAGACAATGCTTGGAAAGAGCTGGAGGGCGGGAAGCTTGGACGATAACTTAGTTCGATCAGGGCACGGAGTACTCCTCCTCCTAGTACTGAGCACTCCGTAGCGTTAGCCTTAAATGAGAAATGAGATGAGGCAGAGACCGTCCAGAACTGCCAGGTGTATCATGGATCGGGCTCAAATTGCTGATAAGAATTGCAGATAGACAGGCCAATTGCATGATTGACTTCTAATTGCATGTCTCACATGGACTCGCAATTTCTGCCCCCCAGCTTGCGACGACTGGGTGGGAAGAGTGGAAGAGTGGAAGAGTGATAGTACTGGAGTGCACCTAGTAATATGAGTATCAGCATGGGTGTATCCATATCACTGCAGTGCAGCATATGATGGTTGTCTGTTTGGCGACGAACCGTAGGACGGAACAGGCACACTAACCTCGAACCAGAACAAGTGAGCGGGGCTTCCCCCTTTTTTTTCGATCTTCCTTCGCCTTTTGCCCCTTTCTCAAGTTTGACGGAAATGGGTCCAGCCCGTTCGTTCCATTTGCCATTGATGTCCCATTCGTTGCAATCTCTCATTAACCTCTCATTATTTTGCATTTTTATGTATTTTTGTTTAGGGCCTAAACTTGAAACAGATCCTTCCCGGCAGCCTGAGCCTTGAGGCCTCTTTCCTCTTTCCTCTTTCCCCCCCCCCTCTCCACTCCACCCAAACCCACCCACCGCTCACTTTGTCACGTTTCGTGTTCCCCGACCGGCGGCGTTGCGTTTTGATAACAGCTACCTATACCTTCCCCTCCCCGCCTCGCTCTCCCTCACCGTCTTCTTCTTCTCCCCTTCTCTTCTCTCTTCAACCCTCCCCTCCCCCTCCATCCTCGCGGCATTCTCTCCCTTCTCCCTTAAATCCAAAACTGCAGTCCTTTCCCTGCAGCTTCACGATTCCTCTTCTATGCTGAGCCTCGCCCGCAAGACTCTGAACCGCGTCCCCAGCTTCCAGGATATTCTACAAGGCAGGATGACCCACCCAGACATGTAAGGAGTCCTCCATGAGCTTTTCCCCCTCCATCGTTTGTCGCAACTGGATTCATGAAGCTATATACTTACACATGGTTGTCCATAACCTACAGTTCCGTTGACGTTCTCGTCATTGGTGCCGGTCCTACTGGTCTCGGTGCCGCCAAGCGTCTTAACCAGATCGTACGAACTTCCGCATTCCACCACCAAGCAACGAAATCGCCAATGCTGACGCCAGACACAGGATGGTCCCTCTTGGTTGATTGTTGACAGCAACGAGATCCCTGGTGGTCTTGCTTCTACCGATGTGACCCCCGAAGGCTTCGTATGTACTCCGCTAGAAACTTCCTACACCCTTTCGTGCAACGTCCTCGACTAACCGCGATGGCAGCTCTTCGATGTCGGTGGCCACGTTATCTTCTCCCACTACAAGTACTTCGATGACTGCATCAACGAGGCTCTTCCCAAGGACGACGACTGGTACACCCACCAGCGTATCTCCTACGTCCGTTGCAAGGAACAATGGGTTCCCTACCCCTTCCAGAACAACATTTCCATGCTGCCCAAGGAGGAGCAGGTGAAGTGTATCGATGGTCTGATTGACGCTGCTCTCGAGGCTCGTGTGGCCAATACCAAGCCCGCCAACTTCGATGAGTGGATCGTCCGCCAGATGGGTGTCGGCATTGCCGACCTTTTCATGAGACCTTACAACTACAAGGTCTGGGCTGTGCCCACCACTAAGGTGAGTCAACGCATTTGATGGCGCCAGTGAATTCGATTGCTAACCTTTGAGAACAGATGCAATGCGCTTGGTTGGGTGAGCGTGTCGCTGCTCCCAATGTCAAGGCTGTGACGACCAATGTCATCCTCAACAAGACCGCTGGTAACTGGGGTCCCAACGCTACTTTCCGTTTCCCCGCTCGTGATGGTACCGGTGGTATCTGGATTGCCGTCGCCAACACTCTCCCCAAGGAGAAGACTCGCTTCGGTGAGAAGGGCAAGGTTGTCAAGGTCAACGCCAACAACAAGACTGTCACCCTCGGCGATGGCACCACCGTTGGCTACAACAAGCTCGTTTCGACCATGGCTGTCGACTACCTTGCTGAGCAGATCGGCGACCAGGAGTTGATCGGCCTTACCAAGGAGCTCTTCTACTCCTCCACTCACGTCATTGGTGTCGGTATCCGTGGTGAACGCCCTGAGAGAATCGGTGACAAGTGCTGGGTAAGAGATTCACATTCGCCAAGAAAAAAAAAAGAATCTGTGCTAATAAGGATTTCCGCAGCTCTACTTCCCCGAGGACAACTGCCCCTTCTACCGTGCCACTATCTTTTCCAACTACTCCCCCTACAACCAGCCCGAGTCCTCCAAGAAGCTGGCTACCCAGCAGCTTGCCGATGGCTCCAAGCCCAAGAACACCGAGCCCCAGGATGGTCCCTACTGGTCCATCATGCTGGAGGTTTCCGAGTCCTCTATGAAGGCCGTGAACCACGAGACCCTCTTGGCCGACTGTATCCAGGGTCTTGTCAACACTGAGATGCTCAAGCCCACCGATGAGATCGTCTCCACCTACCACCGCCGCTTCGACCACGGCTACCCCACCCCCAGTTTGGAGCGTGAGGGTGCTCTTACCCAGATCCTGCCCAAGCTTCAGGCCAAGGACATCTGGACTCGTGGTCGCTTCGGTAGCTGGCGTTACGAGGTCGGCAACCAGGACCACTCCTTCATGCTGGGTGTGGAGGCTGTTGACAACATTGTCAACGGTGCTGTTGAGCTGACCCTCAACTACCCCGACTTTGTCAACGGTAGACAGAACACTGAGCGCCGCCTGGTTGACGGTGCCCAGGTCTTCGCCAAGAAGAACTAAACGTGCGCTGAGTGATTATAGACGACACATATTTAATATTTTGAAATGACCGGGGGATCAAAAATGATACACAGGGAGTCTGATTTTTTTTTCCGCCCATAAACCCGCTGTTTTGTCCCCATTTCATATTCCCCTTTGCTTTTTTTTATTTGTCTGCTTGAGAGCGATGTACGGGAGATATCTGTGCTGGCATCTTTCTTGTTCTGAGTGATGGTGAAACAACCAGCTTTTCTCTTCTTCTACATTATTTGCTAGAATATCCCAAGATTTATAAATGAGCAAGAATTCTTAGACTGTTATGTTCCCGAAATGAGCTGTGATATGCGACAGGTGCTTGTGATCTCGCCCATCTATATTTGGATGCATGTCATTGCCACTGGCCACCTCCGGCTGGGCCCTGATCGGCCTTGATTTCGGGACCGGTATGAAACATCAGTCGGGCGGACATGAGCTTGTCATTCGCGTGTCTCATGTGAGACGTATTTTGCTATTCTCAGCTCAACTGCGGTGCTTCGATGCACCGATAGATGTTTCGCATCCGGCTTGCCCGATCAAGCCATCTGGTGTGATGTGGTGAGTCGGTGGTCTGTAAACACCGCGACCCAAATTCCTTACCGTGACTCTTGGGGGCGTATCGATCTATCTATATCAAACCAATCGGCCTGACTACACTACTCGCAGTCAGTTGCAGAGACCCGGGCCACTGCACCGATGGATCGTGGATCGACCCCCAGTGAGCGAGACCTGACCCTGCAACAAAACAAAACAAAACCCACAGATGTTTCACCGAGAATCTAGCCTCAATTATCTGTAAGGCTGACCCTCCCCCCCCCCCCCATGACCGCGCAGCTCTAGCCCCAAGTTTTAGCTCAGCGCAGCTTAGTGCAGCTCAACTCTTTCGGTCGGTATCATGCCATGCGTCTGTCATGTGTACTCTGCCGCTTCTTTGCGTAGCTTGGATTGGAGGTTTAGCTGGTAGACTAGGTAGATGTTAGCTGGGTTGGTTACTTTGGCTGTGCGGTGCGATGCGGTGCGGTGCGGTGTTGTGCTGTTGGTCATGGGTATGAATGTGAAAGGAGTTGGTACGGTGGGTGGGTGGGTGGTTGTGGTTGTAGCTGTCGACCTATAGTTAATGCAGACGAGGTAGTACCGGTATGCTTTCCCCTGCTGTATGTGCATGGGTCTAGGAGGAAGATGATATGATACTACCTACCGTACTCCATAAGATTAGGTTATATCCTACAGTCCCATAAATTCAAAAATAGAGATTAGTCTTATCCTGTTTCCTGTTTGCTTGTAAGTTGGTCTATACCTTGTTTACCTATTCGACGCTGAACTCCACCGTACAGTAACCACCGGTAGTTATACCTAAGGTGCTCGTAGATAGTTGTTAGCCTCAGGTACAGTACTCGTAGTTATTCAGGCACCAACCCACCAACCCACCAAACCGTCCAGTGAACCAAACCCAAAGGAACCTTAGCCCGGCTCCACCGCCGCCGACACGGTGGACCAAACAATCAGGAACTGCACCAGCCAGTCCTACTCGTAGCAGGCTGGCAGCCCACCGGGGACGCGTAAGTGCTTTGTTGCCATCGGCATCAAGACAAAACCGCAAAGTGCATACATAGTCCACGAGGAGCAGAGGAGCAGTGTTGACGACACCACAGCCTGCGATGGCGAAAGATTGGGGCCATTGTCTTTACTTCTCGTTATCTTTTTTTTTTTTTTGGTCAATAAAAGTTTCGGAGAACATTCTTACTGATCATCCAGATTGAGAGGTTGCTGTCGTGGCCTGATAACGTGGACTTGGAACCACACTAGTTAACTTACAGTCCGTCCCCGAGTCTTGGCCTCAGCACCAAAGATAGAAATGGGGCAATCCCTGGACGACTGCTAGACAGTGGGCAGTGGGCAGTGGGCACAACTGGTCAACTGTGCATGTCATAAGGCAGTGCACCAAACCAAATCTAGCATGACATCTTGATATCTCCTGTTTGCTACTGATTACTTCGCATTAACAATTCCATTGCCAGGATCTGCACAAGTTGAGTGATCGCACATTGTCCCAACTAAAGCCTTTCCTCCTATGTATGCTGCACTGTACCATACCATCCGAAATCATTATTGCATGCCAGTAGCTGCACCTTCAAGCTGACGTGCCTCTCCGCCCACTGTTCCATACTCGACAGCCAAAGGAGCGCATCCGACTGGTCAGCCACGAGCTTGTTGAGAGACATGGCTCCGCTCTTCCGAGGGGCAAGGTGCTCGTAGCTCTCACTCCACCAAATCTCTGAATTCCTCTGACTCTGAGCTCGCGAGCATCTGGTACATCGCCATGTTGACGTACTTTTCGAAATTTGCTGCCTCCACCTCAATCGAGTGGAGGGCCGCTTCCCGATGCTGTCCAATGGGAAATCCCATCAGAGGTCTTCTCAGCGCACGCCTGAGTGCGGGAATACGTACATCTTCCTCTTCCTCGCAAGGGTGGGCTTGTGTGGCAGACATTCTCGCACTCATTGGTTGCATCAGGGTATGTGACTTCCCATTGCCAGAAAGGGCCAATGATTGAGCAAGTGCTGTGGGCGTCGCGAATGCAGACCTTGGTGGCTGATTTTCCTGACGGAACTGGTGGAAACAGAGAGATCAGCCCTGCGGCTGTACAGACTCCTTAGCTTCCCCATGAATAGACCTGTACTTACCTCATCTTTGCCGGCAATGGTTCTGGGTGGATCCCCGTAGCCCTGGCAGGAACCGGTTCCAGTATCTCGGTCTGGCACTCGGAGCGATTGGCTTATGTCAGTCTGGGCACTGGGTGACAGCTTGTCAATAACAGCAAGGTTGATTCCTTTCAGTTTCACCAGCTTGGTTGGACGCTGGGTGTTCTTAGGGCCACCATTGTCAACCGGACAACCGTGCAAGCGTGCTTCTGTCGATCGAGAATAAGGTCGAGAACCATGCTGCGATTCAGTGACGGAAGTTGCCTCATCATCTAGAGGTGTGGGATTGTGGGCTCCCAGCGCGCAACTGTCACAGCTTGGCACAGCATCACCCAAGCGGTTACTGGCCCGCTGGCCGCGTGTTGGTCTTTTTGAGGATCGCAACCTGGTCTTGCCACCATCGACCATTGTGTCTGTGATCGATGTGCTTCTGAATTCCTCTTTGTCTGTCAGAGAAGATGAGATGGGCTTTGTGCTTCGTCCCGGTTGAATTGTTACCAAGGAACGTGAGTGATTCTCGATATCAGATTTTGTGCCACGTTCTTCGTCTGCTGCGTCCAGGGCCGTATGGGTCCGATTCAGATCCACTACATTTCAGCGGCACATCAGCCTCATTCTCTGAACAGGCCACAAATTGTGGTCCGTTCATTCATACCTGACTGCTGCGTTGGCTGTTTCTCAAGCAATAGATTGGTGAGAAGATTGGTGAGAAGAACAGCACGAGTGTCTAGCGGTTCTGGAAGAGAAGTTGAAGAGAATAAGCCCGATCGATGGTTCAGAGAAGAAGAATCAAATGAGACAGGAGTCACAGAGCAAGGCCTGGGAGAATGTGTTTCACCTGTGACATCACCCCTGACACTGTTAGACACTGCTGTGGGTTGTGTTAAACAGTCAGACAAAGAGGTATCTGGAAAGCCATGACAGCCCGGTGAATATCGATTTACTTCCCCATTTCGACCGCCTAAGGGAGTGTCCTGACCTTCCATTGAAAGCCGACATTCACCGTGCACATCCACATTTTTCTCAGCCGACCTTGCCGTCTCTAATGACAAAGTGGATGGCTGAACAATGACCGGCGAGCCTGTGTCTTTCGTCGACGAAGGGGCAGTGGACGCCCCTGGTGGGCACTCAGTCCTGGTGTTATGGTCTCCTCCTCCTCTGCCACGCGGCGACGAGCCGTCTTCAAGAGCCTCGTCTGGAGCCGAATAACAGATAGAATCTGGCGGCGACACGGACGGTGCGGAGAAGAGGTCCGAGTCAGACTCAAGAAAGGCATCGTCCTCGCCATCATCAAAGCTGCTGTCATTCAGAAATTGATCGTGTTGGTGCCATTCCGCCAGGCGACTATGGCGGTTGAGAAGCCGCTGGAGGTGACAGCGTAGGTCTCCGTCTCCGAGGGTTATCCGAGTGGGCTTGTATCGGATCATGGCTCTACCTTGGAGGTTTCCGATTATCTGGTGTACTTCTTACCTCGTTCTTCTTCGGGGATGTTCGGATTCAACTTCTGATGTGAGATTAGGCTGGGGGGTGTTTTGTGCTACATAGTAATCCCTTATTTTTTAGGTGAGATTATCTCCTAGGTATACTATCATCTAGTCTGCGGAAAGTACTGATTGAGAGATACAGCATGAATCAAGGAAGGAGCAACGTGGTGAATGGGTGGTTGCTGCCTCAAGATGGTAAGTCATGGTTGTGGCTGAGTGTGTGTAGTATGAGTGAGTAGTTCAGATAACTAGTTAGATGTCTTGAATCTTGGATAAATAGGCACCAGTCCGACGATCCGGCAATGCTCCGAACAGGACAGGAATGAAATCTATTTTTAATCCCCAGCTTATGAACGGTACGAGCCCTGCGACAGAAAATGTGGTCGCATTGACTTGTGGACTGTGAAGAACCTGGAACTTGTTCACCAGGAGCTGTCATTGCGGACTGGTGGGGAATTTACTGGGTTACCTAAAACTTGCCATGGTATTTATATATAGACCGGCGCCGAGAATCATTTATGATGAACTTCCGGGCAAAGCCACGAGTCATTGATCATTCTAATAGCTTATCGGATGGGGTCAGTATCAAGCACAATGGATTGGTTTGGCAATTGACAGGTGTGGACTTTCCTGCCTAATTAAAGATGGATGGACTGACCGGGTCTTCATTATTATGAACAAGGTGAGAGGGTTGCTAGGCATGAAGATAATCTAAGTTAAGGGAACAAAAGTCATATTCAATAATTTAAGAATGGTAGTTGTCGAGCAGGTGCAGGAATCTTATAATTGCAGAGCATTCGTAGTTGAGCGACAGAGTCAAATTAAGATGAGGTGGTGGTGTTGATGATAAGTAAGATGGACGTATGTTCCTGAGGCTACCATCATCACTGTTGCTGTCAGCCTCACCCATCATCCATCATCCATCATCCATCCTCCCATCTTCCCATCTTCCCATCTCTCTTCCTCGTCCTCATCCTCTTCCTCTTCCTCTCAACCTTCAACAACCTCCTCTCCCTCCCTTCTCTCCTCCTCCACACCACTATCCGACTCTCGTTCTTCCAATCCCCCCCCCCTCTTCTGGCGCAGATCTCTCGCTTGTTGTGCCTCGATGCCTCCCCGTCCGTATCTTCTCCGACCGCCGCCATAGTTCACTCACCATCCCCTTCCCTCGGCCGCCCTCTACCCCCCTCCTCTCTCGCTATCTCTCCCTCTTGCTCTCGTCCACTCTTTTTATTTTTCTGGACCTTCTCCTGCTGCTTCCTTTCCTCTCCTCTGGCCTTCCCCCTCTTCCTGTTTTATCCTCTTCATTCTCTGTTTCATCTTGTTGGTGGTGGGTGCCACGGTGGTGCCTGACCCAGAACATAGTGACTGTTCCCCCTCTTCTCCGTCTTCCATCTCCATCTTCGCTTTCCCCCCTCCTCTTCCTCCCCAAACTTCACCTTCCCCAATTCCCTTCTT